AGATTGAGATAATTGTATTGGTATTATATTTATATTGTTATCTTGAGTGATGTCCCTTACATGTTGTTATTTATAAATAGTTGTCTCTGGCCACTTCCTCTCTCTCTTGGCATCATGGCGTCTGTAAATAAAAGGCTGTTAACACCAATGTGGCTCCTCGTCAATCTATAACAAACAGCATCTGGTTGCGATCGTACTATCAACAACGGATGAGTGAGACATTTCCCCAAACATTTCCGACTAGCTAAAAATGTTCGGGATATAGATAAAAGTTCCACTAGACATTTCTTTCTGTCTGTTTCACTGCCCGCATCAATTTTAGTACGTGATGTCTCTGTGGCTTCTGTTGTTTTAAAATTAACTGTTGTATCTTTATCGACTTTACAACTTCCTTCGTTCTCAACACCTATATCAGATTTTTTCATTTCATTAAACGATTCTCTATAGACATTTGATATTTTTTTATTGTAACTATTTAATTCTACTCTTCCCGGATTTTCTGCTTCTAAAGATGTTTTAAAACTTGCGATCTCTTTATAAGAAACCCAGCGCAGAATTGATTCTAAGACTAAGTCTTCTGACTTAACATTTAAACAATCGTCATCAACAATAAATAAATTAAAGGTATAATAGATTGACGATAGAAGCATGTGGTTGTATATAAAACGTTTATTGGGTCTAACTACATGATGGTACCAGAGAGAGGAAGGAAGTGACGAGAGACAACTATTTATATACATGTAAGGGACATCACTCAAGATAACAATATAAATATAATACTAATACAGAAGAGTGAGTTCCCTTGACCTCACAATTATCTCAATCTATTACATCCCTTTACCCTTAGAACACAATAACACATCTCTCAATAGAACAATTGATAGTATCCTAAAATCACCAATTATATTGTAACATGAACACTATGGTAGATTACATCCTTACAAACAATGCACAATATGCCACAACATAATCAAGATACAAAACAATGATGTCAAAGTCCTTTTGACCCTTAAAATCATAGGTCTAACTTATTTGGGACTTTGATTGTCCTGCTTGACCTTCTCAGTGGCTTTTGATTTGGTGACTCAAGATTCTGACCATATGGATTCTCTATCTCAGGAGGTCTAGGATTTAAATCATTAACTCCAGAATTTTCATTTTCTGACTCTAGACAACTTGGTTCACTCATATCAACAGAACTTGGTTGTGGAACAAACTGAGTTGGTGTGAACTGTTCAGATTTGGTGGGATTGACAGATTCACACTTATTATCTGCACAAGTTATTTTTAACTTTATAAGGCACAGGTCCTGTACATTGAACAATTTGACCTGGTATCCATTTTTCCTTTCTCCCATAATTTCTTAGATACACATTCTTATTAACACCAAATTCTCTTTCAATGCATGTGTTGTCATGATTTAATGGAACTATTTTTGAATTGGCATCTGAAAGTATTAAATGGCAAAAATCTTTTTTTTTCTTTTGATGTTACCCTTTTAGTTTCTGTAAGTGCTAATGATGTTAGCAAAGTTGTTTGATGATCACATTCCTTCTTACTAATGTATTCTCTTTAAAACATTTGAAATTGCCATATCACCATAATCAATTATTAAGTTACAAATACTTTGTTTAGGCAACTCTGACTGATAATGGACTGCATCTTCTCCATCTTTTCACAAAGGTTTTTATTTCTTATTTTACATGGCCTTAAGTCATCATTCACAGACTCCTCAGGCCAACCATTCTTACAGTACTCATATACTTTTATTAAGCACTCATCTTTTTGTGTTTCTCTTTTAATATCATTCACATTTATATTGGAGTTATCCATAATAGTGAAGAGAACAAATACATCTTCTGGTACATAGCTCAGGCTTTGGTTTTTTAAAGGTAATCTACTAAGACTATCTGCACTATTCTCAGATCCAGGTTTGTATTTCAATTCATAATTGTATGCAGTTAGTGTGATAGCCCATCTTTGAATTCTTGGTGAGGCATGCTCAGGTAGGGTTTTGTTTTCTCCAAATAAACCTAGCAATGGTTTATGATCTGTAAAGATGGTGAACTTCCTACCAAACAGAAATTTATGAAATTTCTTAACACCAAAAATGATGCTTAAGCCTTCCCTATCTAACTGAGAATAATTTTTCTCAGCCTGGTTCAAAGATCTACTGGCAAAAGCAATGGGTCTGTCACCCTTCTCATCCATGTGGGACAAGACTGCTCCTACACCATCTGGTGAAGCATCACATGTTAATATAAGTCTTTTCCCTGGGTCATAGTGAGTTAGTAAGGTGTCAGAAGACAAAGCCTCTTTTGCTGTATTAAAAGCAGCTTCTTGTTGTTTACCCCAGTGCCAAGTTGCATTTTTCTGTAGCAGCTTGTACAGTGGAGATAGTTTACCAGACAGATTCCCTATGAACTTTGCATAGTAATTTATCAAGCCCAAAAAAGCTCTTAGTTGTTGGGTATTTTCAGGTTTGGGTGCTTCTTTAATGGCTTTTGTTTTCTCAGGTTGAGGTCTGATACCTTGTTTGCTCAATATATAACCAAGAAAACTAATTTCTGTCAACATGAATTGACATTTATCTTTGTTTATCTTTAAACCTTTTTCACCAACAATTTTTAATACTTTATCAAGTGTTTTAAGATGTTCAGTGTCATTCTTACCAGTTATGTACACATTGTCAAAGTACACACAAACATTTGGAATATCCTTAAAAATACTGTCCATGACAGCTTGGAAAATTCCAGGGCTAGATGATATGCCAAAACATAGTCTTTCATATTGGTAGAGTCCTTTATGTGTGTTTATTGTCGTATAGACTTTTGAATCTGGATGCAGTTCTAGTTGAGTGTAAGCATGACTAAAGTCTAATTCAGTGAATTTGTCTCCTCCTGCCAAATTCAAAGAACTTTCCTCAATGTTAGGTATAGGGTACCTATTTAGCTCTATTTGCTTATTCAGTGTAGTTTTATAATCTCCACAAATTCTTATAGAACCATCCTTCTTTAACACTGGCACAATGGGCGTTGCCCAATCGGAATAGTCTACCTTCTTTATGATGCCATTAGATTCCAATCTACTTAGCTCATTTTCAATTTTATTCCTCATTGCATAAGGTGGAACTCTAGCTTTGCAGTATCTTGGATTTGTGTCTTTAATGCTTATCTTCACTGTTCTATCATTTAGTAAACCTGAATTGCCAAAAACACTTTTATTTTCAGATATTACTTTATCTAGTGAAGTAAGACTAGATTCTTTTCCATTGTTCAATGAACAAATACTCTCCCAATTTAACTTAAGATTACTTAACCAGTTCCTACCTAGTAATGGTGGTCCATTTCCTTCAACCACAAGAAGAGGAAGTTTAACACTTTGACCATTATAACTTACATGAACCATACACTCTCCTATTACCGGAACATTGTCACCAGTGTATGTTGTTAGGCACTTGTGACATGGCTGTAGAGGCACTGATCCTCCTGTGACAGCGTCAAAATCTTTCTTTGTTATGACTGTTAGAGATGCTCCAGTGTCAAGTTGGAAGCTGATGCTCTTACCGTTGATATTAACTGGTACATTGATGGGAGCATGACTTATTGATTTCACAGAGAACAGGTTGAAATCCGGCTGCAAATCAGTTTGAGCATTTTCACAGGTAGAGTGGTTCATTGGTTGGGTTAGGTAGTCTTGGTGAGAGTTAACATAGTGCTGCCTTTGGTTGCGGTACTGTCTTGACTGGCTAGATTTAGCAACAGACGAAGACTTTGCAAAGCAGGCCTTGGCAATGTGACCTTGCTTACCGCACTTATAACAAGTTGCTAACTTGAACTTGCACCGATGAGATGCATGGGGACCTTTGCATCGATGACATTTTTGATAATTATTACTAGATTTAGATCTAGGATTTGAACGAGCAGGCTGTTTAGCATAAGTTGGAATGCTCTGATGGGGTTGATGTTTATTGACTAACCTGCTGTTTACTGCATGGATCTCTGAAGGTGCTAAAGATCTCGCCGCATCAGATGACTGCTGGAATGAAGTTGCTAGTTGTATTGCTTTTTCCAATGTTAGATCTGACTCGAGCAGCAACTTTCTTTGAATATCAGGGCTGTTTACACCTGTCACAAACTTTTCACATAGTCTGTCAGACAGCGTTTCTCCAAATTCACAGAATCTACTTAAATGACGTAAAGCAGCAACATATTCTGATATTGACTCGTTTGGTTGACGAGTCCTACTGTCAAATCTAGCTCGACATAGAAACTTTGATGGGGTAGGCGCATGGTGGTCTGTTAGCAATTTGCTCAGCTCGTTAAAGCTCTTGGTAGTTAGACTAGCTGGTGCGCATAAGTCTTTTAGTAGCCTAAATTGTTGAGGCCCTATGACTGTTAACAAAATAGCTCTCTTTTTGGCTTCTATCGTCACGTCGTTTGCTTCAAGGTAAAAGCTTAACCTATCTAGGTAATCTTGAATGATTTCATCATTCGAATCAAATTCTTTTATTTGGCCATACAGCGCCATTATTCTAGAAATACTTAGCTAATAAGCTCTAGCAAACCTCTTTTTTGCGTAAGTAGGTGCTCTTTCTAGTAGATTATTTATCCTCGTCGTCAGATATAATAGATTGACGATAGAAGCATGTGGTTGTATATAAAACGTTTATTGGGTCTAACTACATGATGGTACCAGAGAGAGGAAGGAAGTGACGAGAGACAACTATTTATATACATGTAAGGGACATCACTCAAGATAACAATATAAATATAATACTAATACAGAAGAGTGAGTTCCCTTGACCTCACAATTATCTCAATCTATTACAAAAGGGAACGAAAGTTCTAGAAAGGTATCAGTCTCACGAAAATGTTCGAAGTTTTGTTTCATAAAATGAATCGAAAAATCAATGACAGTTTCGGAATTTAAAAGTTTGGCTAAATGATAAAAATGAATGTAATTTTCTAACGACATGTTGTTCTTGACAAATTGCTCACACTCTTGTATTAGAAATGGGATGTCCAGCAGATGAGTCGCCTGCCACACGTTGCCCACATTGCCCAGGGTCAGTCCATCAACACCTTTGTATATCGCATTGATGATAACATCAAACGTCTCCTTACTTATCTTATTCAACACAACATATCCTTCCTGCTTTTCTTTGAAATCAGCTCTCAACAGAGTGTTAAAGAAAGTGGAGCAGGCACTTAGAATAAATTTGTGACAGAAATACTCCGAGCCATCAACCATAATTCTAAAATCCTTGAAGATATCTCCCGTCCATTCATTGCCCAGACATTCTTGCAGTCCACAAGCAAGGGTATATTTCACCATTTTCTGTGTCGCTAATGCCAAATGATCTATTTTTAAAAATGTACAAAGTACAAACATATTAAAAGAATATAGATCTAAAGTAAATGTATGCGATTTATCCCCTTATCGCCACACGCACTATACCTCCCCAGTTCCCCAATGATTCTTTCACTTTCAGGCATTTTCCAGGATATGGACTACCTTCCAGAAATTCCCCCCCCCCCCCCCCCCCCCCGAAGAAATTATCTCTGTATTTTTGTAAATATAAATTATTATAAATGTATGTTGCTTTACGTTAAACCCCTCCCCCCCCCCCCCCCCATTGTCGCTAGTCAAACCCTCCTCCACTCCACTTTTGGTGTACACGAGTTGAGTGACGTAAATAAAAGAATAAAAAGATGATAATTTGGCCAATATGTTTTGCAGGTGCCCTGTCAAAACGGCCCGGGACAAAACGACCCCGTCAAATCGACCCCCGGCATAACGACCCAGTCAAAATAGCCCCGCCAAAAGGGCCCCGACTTATTGGCTCCCGTCAAATAGGCTCCCGTTATATTGACTAGCGACATATACGCTCCCGACATATGAGCTCCCGACATTTAGGCTCCCGACAAATGAACTCTCGACATATTGGCTCACAAATAGGCTCAGGACACACTGGCTCCCGACATAAGGGCTCACAACAAATGGGCTCCCAACAAATGAGCTCATGACATATTGGCTACCGACAAATGGGCTCCCGACATATTGGCTACCGACAAAATGACTCCCGACATATTGGCTCCAGACAAATGAATGGAATGACTACTATTGGCATAAAAGTATCAATTTTGTCCTACCTCCACTGCTAATATAACCTCTTTTTAATGCCTGAATGAAATTGTTTTTCATGAACGAACATCAATTCCAACTTTACAATGGATTTTCATGCCAAGTTAGCCATGCAGGGAAACTGTCTAAAGAGTTCCAGGTCAACACAGGTGTGAGACAAGGATGTCTGCTGTCGCCCCTCCTCTTCTTGGTAGTTCTCGACTGGGTGACACGCACAGCCTATGCCAGTTCTGGAAAAGGTATTCAGTGGACACTCACGGGGAAACTAGAAGATCTGGAGTTTGCAGATGATCTTGCCTTACTCTCGCACAGGCTACAGGACATGCAAGAAAAGGTTGATGCATTAGGAGCCATCTCGCAGCGCGTAGGTCTGAAGATCAACAAAGAAAAGACGGAAATGATGAGAATTAACAATAAGCAGGAGGCTAAAGTGTAAATAGACGGAAGACAGGTAAATGATGTGCAAGAGTTTGTCTACCTTGGCAGCAAGATCAGCAAAACGGGAGGCACAGAGGAGGACATACGCGCTAGAGTTAATAAAGCCCGCTGCGCTTTCACAGTCCTGCGACCCATATGGAAAAGTTCGGCCATCTCCATTACCACAAAAATTAGGATATTTAACTCTAATGTCAAGGCAGTTCTGCTGTATGGAGCAGAGACATGGAGATTCTCCAAGGCAAGCACAGCAAAGATACAGACCTTCATGAATAGATGCCTTAGACAGATACTGAAACTGAGATGGCAGGACAAAGTGCCGAACTTGGAACTATGGAGGAAAGCTAGGCAGGAGCCTATAGGTGTGCAAATAAGAAGGAGGAAGTGGCGCTGGGTGGGTCACACACTGCGAAAGGCTCACACAAATGTTACACGCCAAGCGCTTGAGTGGAACCCCCAGGGAAAGCGGAAGAGAGGGCGCCCAAGACAGACCTGGAGGCGGAGTCTTCTTGAAGAACTGAAGCCAATAGGGATGTCTTGGGAGATGTCAAAATTAATAGCCGAGGATAGGAAGAAATGGAAGGAAATGGTGGAGGCCCTATGCTCCATAAGGAGCAAAGAGGACTAAGTAAGTAAGTAACATCAATTCACAAATAACGCCATTTTCTTTTTTGATAACCTACAAGCATACTGGAGGTAGGAAGGTACAGCGTGGACCCTTCTTGTAATAGATTGAAATAATTGTGAGGTCAAGGGAACTCACTCTTCTGTATTAGTATTATATTTATATTGTTATCTTGAGTGATGTCCCTTACATGTTGTTATCTATAAATAGTTCTCTCTCGCCACCCACTTCCTCTCTTACCATCATGGCTGGTCTGTAAATAAAAGATTGTTAACACCAACGCGGCTTCTCGTCATTGTTCGCCAATCTACCTCATTTGGCGACGAAGGATAAACATCTACTAGAAAGAGCACCTACTTACGCAAAAAAGAGGTTTGCTAGAGCTTATTAGCTAATTATTTCTAGAATTATGGCGCTGTATGGCCAAATAAAACAATTTGATGCGAATGATGAAATCATTCAAGATTACCTAGAGAGGTTAAGCTTTTACCTAGAAGCTAACAACGTGACGATAGAAGCCAAAAAGAGAGCTGTTTTGTTAACAGTCATAGGGCCTCAACAATTTAGGCTACTAAAAGACTTATGCGCACCAGCTTGTCTAACTACCAAGAGCTTTAACGAGCTGAGCAAATTGCTAACAGACCACCATGCGCCTACCCCATCAAAGTTTCTATGTCGAGCTAGATTTGACAGTAGGACTCGTCAACCAAACGAGTCAATATCAGAATATGTTGCTGCTTTACGTCATTTAAGTGAATTTTGTGAATTCGGAGACACGCTGTCTGACAGATTATGTGAAAAGTTTGTGACAGGTGTAAACAGCCCTGATATTCAAAGAAAGTTGCTGCTCGAGTCAGATCTAACATTGGAAAAAGCAATACAACTTGCAACTTCAATCCAGCAGTCATCAGATGCGGCAAAATCTCTAACGCCTTCAGGGATCCATGCAGTAAACAGCAGGTTAGTCAATAAACATCAACCCCATCAGAGCATTCCAACTTATGCTAAACAGCCTGCTCGTTCAAATACTAGATCTAAATCTAGTAATAATTATCAAAAATGTCATCGATGCAAAGGTCCCCATGCATCTCATCGGTGCAAGTTCAAGTCTGCAACTTGTTATAAGTGCAGTAAGCAAGGTCACATTGCTAAGGCCTGCTTTGCAAAGTCTTCGTCTGTTGCTAAATCTAGCCAGTCAAGACAGTACCGCAACCAAAGGCAGCACTATGTTAACTCTCACCAAGACTACCTAACCCAACCAATGAACCACTCTACCTGTGAAAATGCTCAAACTGATTTGCAGCCGGATTTCAACCTATTCTCTGTGAAATCAATAAGTCATGCTCCCATCAATGTACCAGTTAATATCAACGGTAAGAGCATCAGCTTCCAACTTGACACTGGAGCATCTCTAACAGTCATAACAAAGAAAGATTTTGACGCTGTCACAGGAGGATCAGTGCCTCTACAGCCATGTCACAAGTGTTTAACAACATACACTGGTGACAATGTTCCGGTAATAGGAGAGTGTATGGTTCATGTAAGTTATAATGGTCAAAGTGTTAAACTTCCTCTTCTTGTGGTTGAAGGAAATGGACCGCCATTACTAGGTAGGAACTGGTTAAGTGATCTTAAGTTAAATTGGGAGAGTATTTGTTCATTGAAGAATGTAAAAGAATCTAGTCTTACTGCACTAGATAAAGTAATATCTGAAAATAAAAGTGTTTTTAGTAATCCAGGATTACTAAATGATAGAACAGTGAAGTTAAGCATTAAAGACACAAATCCAAGATACTGCAAAGCTAGAGTTCCACCTTATGCAATGAGGAATAAAATTGAAAATGAGCTAAGTAGATTGGAATCTAATGGCATTATAAAGAAGGTAGACTATTCCGATTGGGCGACACCCATTGTGCCAGTGTTAAAGAAGGATGGTTCTATAAGAATTTGTGGAGATTATAAAACTACACTGAATAAGCAAATAGAGCTAAATAGGTACCCTATACCTAACATTGAGGAAATCTCTTTGAATTTGGCAGGAGGAGACAAATTCACTGAATTAGACTTTAGTCATGCTTACACTCAACTAGAACTGCATCCAGATTCAAAAGTCTATACGACAATAAACACACATAAAGGACTCTACCAATATGAAAGACTATGTTTTGGCATATCATCTAGCCCTGGAATTTTCCAAGCTGTCATGGACAGTATTTTTAAGGATATTCCAAATGTTTGTGTGTACTTTGACAATGTGTACATAACTGGTAAGAATGACACTGAACATCTTAAAACACTTGATAAAGTATTGAAAATTGTTGGTGAAAAAGGTTTAAAGATAAACAAAGATAAATGTCAATTCATGTTGACAGAAATTAGTTTTCTTGGTTATATATTAAGCAAACAAGGCATCAGACCTCAACCTGAGAAAACAAAAGCCATTAAAGAAGCACCCAAACCTGAAAATACCCAACAACTAAGAGCTTTTTTTGGGCTTAATAAATTACTATGCAAAGTTCATAGGAAATCTGTCTGGTAAACTATCACCACTGTACAAGCTGCTACAGAAAAATGCAACTTGGCACTGGGGTAAACAACAAGAAGCTGCTTTTAATACAGCAAAAGAGGCTTTGTCTGCTGACACCTTACTAACTCACTATGACCCAGGGAAAAGACTTATATTAACATGTGATGCTTCACCAGATGGTGTAGGAGCAGTCTTGTCCCACATGGATGAGAAGGGTGACAGACCCATTGCTTTTGCCAGTAGATCTTTGAACCAGGCTGAGAAAAATTATTCTCAGTTAGATAGGGAAGGCTTAGGCATCATTTTTGGTGTTAAGAAATTTCATAAGTTTCTGTTTGGTAGGAAGTTCACCATCTTTACAGATCATAAACCATTGCTAGGTTTATTTGGAGAAAACAAAACCCTACCTGAGCATGCCTCACCAAGAATTCAAAGATGGGCTATCACACTAACTGCATACAATTATGAATTGAAATACAAACCTGGATCTGAGAATAGTGCAGATAGTCTTAGTAGATTACTTTTAAAAAACCAAAGCCTGAGCTATGTACCAGAAGATGTATTTGTTCTCTTCACTATCATGGATAACTCCAATATAGATGTGAATGATATTAAAAGAGAAACACAAAAGATGAGTGCTTAATAAAAGTGTATGAGTACTGTAAGAATGGTTGGCCTGAAGAGTCTGTGAATGATGACTTAAGGCCATATAAAATAAGAAATTAAAGCCCTTTGTGAAGATAATATAAATGATGGAGAAGATGCAGTCCATTATCAGTCAGAGTTGCCTAAACAAAGTATTTGTAACTTAATAAATGATTATGGTGATATGGCAATTTCAAATGTTTTAAAGAGAATACATTAGTAAGAAGAAATGTGATCATCAAACAACTTTGCTAACATCATTAGCACTTACAGAAACTAAAAGGGTAACATCAAAAGGAAAAAAAAAAAAGATTTTTTGCCATTTAATACTTTCAGATGCCAATTCAAAAATAGTTCCATTAAATCATGACAACACATGCATTGAAAGAGAATTTGGTGTTAATAAGAATGTGTATCTAAGAAATTATGGGAGAAAGGAAAAATGGATACCAGGTCAAATTGTTCAATGTACAGGACCTGTGTCTTATAAAGTAAAAACAAATGATGGACTTATTGTCCGTAGACATGCAGACCAGTTAAAAATAACTTGTGCAGATAATAAGTGTGAATCTGTCAATCCCACCAAATCTGTTCCACAACCAAGTTCTGTTGATATGAGTGAACCAAGTTGTCTGGAGTCAGAAAATGTAAATTCTGGAGTTAATGATTTAAATCCTAGACCTCCTGAGATAGAGAATCCAAATGGTCAGAATCTTGAGTCACCAAATCAAAAGCCACTGAGAAGGTCAAGCAGGACAATCAAAGTCCCAAATAAGTTAGACCTATGATTTTAAAGGTCAAAAGGACTTTGACATTATTGTTTTGTATCTTGATTATGTTGTGGCATATTGTGCATTGTTTGTAAGGATGTAATCTACCATAGTGTTCATGTTACAATATAATTGGTGATTTTAGGATACTATCAATTGTTCTATTGAGAGATGTGTTATTGTGTTCTAAGGGTAAAGGGATGTAATAGATTGAAATAATTGTGAGGTCAAGGGAACTCACTCTTCTGTATTAGTATTATATTTATATTGTTATCTTGAGTGATGTCCCTTACATGTTGTTATCTATAAATAGTTCTCTCTCGCCACCCACTTCCTCTCTTACCATCATGGCTGGTCTGTAAATAAAAGATTGTTAACACCAACGCGGCTTCTCGTCATTGTTTGTCAATCTACCTCACTTCTCCCCACACACTGAGTTTGAACAGCCTATAACCGACTCAATCATGGAAGTCATAGATAGATGACCCTTAAATTAAAACATACTCTATTTTATAATAGATAAACTAATATAAAAATAAGGCCTGCCGAACAAGAGATGCATACGTTGTATTACTTAAGAGTGTTGGATAAGCTAACTCTAAAGAATATTGATGAAGGGGTCCCACTGGCAGGTGTCATATTCAATGAGACCGCTTTGCCGGGAGACTTAGTCACTACAGTGGTCCTTTTGTCTGGAGCCAAACTGACAGGAGCCTTTTTGTCGTGAGCCAAAATGACGCTAGCCTATTTGTCAGGAGTCACGCTTTTTTGACGATTTTTACCCCCCCCCCCCCCCCCCCCCCCGTACCCTTTGTCACACGTCGTCACAAAAAGCCAAACACTCCTCCCCCCCTAAAAATCTAAAATGACGTCAAACATCAGCCTAATACCCCCCACCCCCCATCGATTTTTTCTTAAAACATCGATATTTTTCCAAAATCTTGTCAGAACTCAGTCAACATAGAGTATTTTGATCTATTCCTATTACAATTTATTAAAACCGTTTTCTTAAACGCGAAATAACGACTAAAACTCATTTCTAACAATGCTTATTCATAATGCAAAAAAAGTGACTTCACACCATCTGAGCCCCCTCCCTTCCCCTCATCACACACCGTCACGAAATTACGGACCCCTTCCCCCCTACGATTGTGACGTCATTTATGGACGACCCCTATAGATATGAAGTCGTAGAATGTAGGCCACTTAAAAATCAGTCATGAACTTATAAAAATACAGTTGACGATGATTGCAGACTATTTGAACTATGTCTAGTTCTAGATATAGATCTAGATTCCCTATAATTGTAGGCCCTTTTATTGACTATTGACTATAGAGATAGGGCCTAGATCTTTATTGAAATTTTTACTTACATATTATGTGCCTTATTTCTAAATACTTTGACCAGGGAACTGAAGTAATAAGGGGAATTTCCTATTTTCATTTAAATCTGCGAATCTCAAAGTAGGACTTGGGGACGGTGGAAACATCAGGTACTTGGGGGGGGGGGGGGGGGGGGGAGGGACAATAAAAGCTCCTAGTAACAATAGGTGATTAAAAAAAACTAGTTAACGTAAGCTTGTTATAATTACATTATGACATTTAATTTTTAAATATTTAAGAACATGGTCGATTACATCAGATTGTTGATAACGTTACTGTTATGTTGACGAAATTTTACGTACTTGGATATTATATCAAATTAGTAGTATAGTATCAAGTTTTGAACGATTTCCGGTAACCGGAATCTGTACTTACACAATTTCCATTTGTGAAAAGACAATAAACTGAGTGAACGAAAGTATTACTTTACGCAATTTCCGATTTCTGAAAACAGAATAATACTTCTACCGGACCGATTTATTCAAAACTTTGCATGTAGGTTAAGACTCAATGGCAAAGCTTTGCGACATAATAGATGGCTAAATTTGTTGTTATATTAACTTTTTAAAAATGAATAAATGTTTCCTTAATAGAACACTATTTTTTCGCTCTATTATACACACGTTGTTTACTTTCATTTGGTGCGCAATTCTTTCTTTTATGTGATTCTATTATATTATATATACGAGATAAATGGCCAGTTGAGGGAGAAATAAAACGGGTGCTAGGTTGATATTGTTGTCTCTTTTCTCTAAACCGAAACCAAAATCACCACCTTAACTTCAAATTTAACCGGAAACGAAAAATGTCATTGAAAAGGGATTTTTATCCAGAATCGGCATTTTTAACCGAAATAGAATTTACATAGAAAATATACTTTATAAGTGTACGCCCCCTCCCCAGAAAATTTAGTCCACCCCCCCCCCCCCATCTGAAAATTTCAAGTAACCCCCCCCCCCCCTTTAGGAGGGGAAAAGTCTGAAAGAAACACAGAAATCATACAGATTAAAGTTCTACCCTACTACTATAATATAGACACGTTTCCTAGTTTTGGCTGCTAAACCTCAATCATGAAGATAGTGTTTCTTTCAGACTTTTTTCTCCGGGGGGGGGGGGGTGCAGATTAAATTCTCCTAGTTACCACACTATTATACGCACATTTTTAGTGTTGATTTATTGCGCAGTTGTTAATAGTCATGCAATTCTATAGTATTTTTTTTTTAACTATTGAAAAAAAAAAACACGACGGCAGAGTTTCTTCCAGGCATCTCTTCGGGGGGGGCGAAGCCCCCCCCCCGAAAAATTTTTACCGCCCCCCCGAACGAAATGAAATTTATATAATTTATATAGAAAATATATACTTTTAACAGTGTCCGCCCCCCCGAAGAAAGTTTACCGCCCCCCCGAAGATTTCAAGTGCCCCCCCGGAGAAAAAAGTCTGGAAGAAACACTGCACGACGGGGGATGGCAACTCAGGATATAGACATGATTTTTAATCCATTTTTATTAATTACTTAAACTTTTAAAATTAGAATAGAATCTCGTAGAAAAAAGAATTTCGCACTAAGTGAACGCCAAATAATCAGTTTATAATAATACGGAATATTATTAGTACTTTATAAATTCACATGCGTTTTTTTTTGCTTTGTTTTTTGAGAAATCGGAAATAGCATAAATTACTACTTCCTGGTCAACGGAAATTACTCAAAATTTGACAATAGGCAGAGAATTAGATATTTTATTTATTTTTAAAAATTACGTTCATCTATTTGTAATAGTAGTCAAGTTATGTTATCGGCTCCTGAAACACTAAAAGTAGAATAGGTTACCGGAAATCGCTGAAAAGTTGATGCATCACTCGGAGTCTAGACCTCTCGGCCTTCAACTTTGTCATCTGCATAGCGGAAGTAACTAAAAAACTAGAAACAGATTGCAACTACAACAACTATGAAATGAAGTGGTCTCTCGAGTTTTAATACATAATGCTATTAATTAATACATGGTTTTAATTACCACGTAGGCCTAATAAATTAGTCATAGTTAGTTTCTATAATAATATGGTCTTCAGGCCACTAAAGTTCAAAGTTCTAGATCTAGATCGAGTTAGACTAGATTCTAGATCTAGACTAGATGTCAATGTTTTGTTACTTTGTAAAATGTTATTGTTAATGTTACTGTTGTGTTGACTAGACTAGACACTAGAATGACTAGATCTAGTTGACAGACTGTAGTGTAGTAGGTCCTACTCTACTGTAGTGTTAGAGTGTAGAAAGTGTGTAGACTGTTAACTGTTAGTAATTGTTAGCCATCTGTCTCTAACTAAAACTAGCACTACAACACTCTACTACTACTACTAGTTAGTGTTACTACTCTACACTTACTTACACTCTCTACTCTAGGCCCTCGGCCAAATATCTACCAAACCAATGGATGCCAGCGACAAAAGGCTCAAAGGTATTTGAGAGGTCCATAAATTAATTTAAAAATCATGCACAGTGTAGATTCTAGTAACAATTAATATGGTTATAAATTCCTGTCTGGTTTTTTTCGGACTTTACTAAAGATTGGATGTAGGCCGTTTGTTGTTTTTAATATTTTCGGTAACTAAATACAAATTTAAAAAAAAGCAAAAACAATTTGGTTTTCACGTGTAATGGCGACATAAACAATGGCATCCTGCTATTCGATAGGCTGCCATAAATTTTATTTTACACCTTGTAAGCTAAAAAAAAAGATAAAATAGGTCATGGGGTTTAAATTTGCATTGTTATTTAAAAACTTAATCTGCAAAGTTTTGTAAACAAATAGTTATCGATCACTAAGTTACTGTACAGCTAATCAATATTTGTCTTACGAAAGTGAAACATCCGGTTATAACTTAGGCTTGATGAAAATAAAGAGAGATGTAGCCTTAAACTCAGCAAACTATTTTCAAGTTCTCTGGATTTGCAACTTTTATAGCATTTATTCTAAAAATATAAAAATTTCTAATTTAGGGGCCTAATTTTAGGCTTAAGTTTTTATTTATTTTTACGGTCTAAATCTAAAAAGCTCGTTTTTATTTCATGTCAACAACATTATGGAAGGAATCTCATCAACTCGCTGGTGTCCATTAACCAAATTACACAATTTAATAGTGTTGTTTATATGGCAAGAGAAATAATGAAGAGGTCTAGTTTAATAAAAGATCTGCATTAAAAATTTGAATTAGGTTGATATTTTAAAATTGTATGCAATTTTAATAGCACCTAGAAAATCAACTTCTAAGGTTAATCAAATCATCATAACCAAATCTAATTTTAAGCTTGCTAAAACAAATAAACAATAAACATTTTTAAAATAATTATTTGATGTTCCAGCTATATCTAGAAAAAAATGCTCCATCTGTTCATCAAATTATTGATAGCCCCTTTAAGTCCCACCTTGTTGTGAAAATCCCTAATAAAATGCAAGTATGTTTTTTTTTAATTGTGCCATTAAAAAGACCTTTATTATTTATACTTTTAGCCTATTTAAATAATTCAAGCAATTTGAGGCAGTTATGAAAACCTATCGACAGACCTCTACGCACCTACTCTAGTTCTCATGGGGTATTAACTCAATCACCCTATGCCCCCTGCATAAAACGGACAAGATAAAGTCACACATAAACAACATGAGAAAGATGTTGCCTGGTGTGGGAGTCTTTGGCAACACTCCTGCCATGAGGTATGATTGTAAGCTATAAATCATTTGAAATTAGCACCATGTTTTTTTTTTATTAATTTTTTTTTATTGTCATACATATTTTTATAAAACAAAGTTGTTTTTTTTTAATGTTAGCATCTGTTTTTTTTTCTTTTCAAAAGTACAAATCCTAAACAATTTGAATCAAATTTTTTTTAATCAAACTATTTTCAGACAGACATCTGTTCACATGTTTAAAATATTTACATTTAATTTCTATCAACATTCTAGGCGCCATTTTTGTTTTCCACTTTCACTTTTAGGTGTTATATTCCTATGTTAAAATCGTGTGGCTTAGAAGTCGTGGCTTTATGGGCCAGGACCCCAGAGGAAGCAAAAGAACTTTCAGAAGATTTGGGGATTGATATGTATACTACAGATGTTGACAAGGTTTGATTTTTGGTTTTGTACTTTATATTATTCTTACTCTGAATTAAATGTCGAAATTAACACTTTCAATTTCAGTAAAATCTTCAAATTTAATTTAAAATATCCTGTTTGTGAAAAGTTTTTATTGGTTTTTTAGTTAAAGAGAAACATAATGTTATAAAAATAAATGGTTTTGAACTTTTATATTTAAAAAAAGAAAAAGCGTTTTTTAATGCTTGTGAGCAGCTTTTTATTTTTTTAATCTTCATATCCTCTGCAATTGATTTGATTGAAATTTTACTTCACTGAAATTTCCATGGAGAAAAAAATCATACTCAATTGTAGAGCAAGGTTCATTGTCAGAGCAATATGTTGCCAACCAGAAAGTCATGAGTTAGGTTCCTAGAACTGGAATTAAGTTAATCTTAATTCTCTCCCTCCTTCATGGCTCTAATGGGTACCTTACTTGTCAGGGAGAATATAAGTGTCTGGGCATAGTGCTGACCACTTAATCACTTTATCTTACCAGTGAACCTCAGTGTCTGAAAGGAAATTTTACAATTAGTATCTCAATCTGAATCAGGCTTGTTCCATTTTGGCATAAAGACCAACACATATTTTCTCATCAGGTTTTGCTGCACAAAGATGTGGACCTTGTGGTTATAAGCTGCTCACCCCACCTACAAGCTCACATCGCAGCCAAGGCTCTCGGCATAGGGAAACATGTTCTTTGTAGCCCCCCTTCAGGTCCTCGGAGCAGAGACACATTGCCTATGGTTCACGCTTCAAGGTATTACCCCAAACTCATGTCACTGATGTGCAATGGCCTCCGCTTTTTACCATCTGTTGTTAAGATGAGAAGTCTTATAAAAGATAGTTTTATAGGGGATGTTACAATATGTGAGGTTAAAGTTCATTATGGTCAGAGGTTGAAGCACACCTTTGATTGGATGTGTGATGAAATGATGGGAGGTGGTGTCCTCAATATGTATGGTGGGATGATTGTGGACATTTTAAGTCATGTAACTGGCCAGCGTGCTATAAGAGTACAAGGTATGTTGAAGACTTACACTAAACAAACTGAGTTTGTTAAAGGCATTCGAGAAATCACAAGTGACGATTTCTGCTCCTTCCAAATGGAGATGGATGGTGGCGCTTGTGCTACAATAACATTAAATGGGCACGTCCCTGGACAGTTTGTGCAAGAAATAATTATTGTCGGCACTAAAGGGCGATTGGTGTTAAAAGGATCTGATTTATATGGCCAAAAACATGACAGAGTCAAAGAAGACTTATTACACTTTGACCCTGTGAACTACAAGGATATAGAATCTATTGGAATACATGAGAAAGTTAGGGGCGAAATCCCTGTCCCATACATGAAGGGTGTGATCAAGATGATTGAATCTGTGCGGGACGCCTTTCAGCAAGTTGAAGAACGCCAGGGCTGGAGCCCCGAACCACTTGATGCGGCGGCCACGTTTGAGGATTGTTTTTATGTCCAGACAGTTCTGGACACTGTGAGATCTGCAAGCAAGGTGCGCCAGTCTATGAAAGTGATTATGACTGACACTGAGCCAGAGCCCAATCCATTTCTATCTACAGCCATGAGGAGAAGCACATTCTCCTTGCATTGAGCAGTGACTGATTTGATTTTTTTCAATGTATTTTTATTTATCCTATTTAATTCTAGATCACTTTTATTACTCAGGGTTAATTTTTTTTTAAATTTTCTTATTTAAAAAGTCAATATCTTGTAAATCTTTTAACCAAAAACAATAAAACTTTTTTTTTTTTAATTTTATTACTAAATATTAAATTTTTACTAACAAGCTGTTGCAATAAAAATGTATTATGACCACTCTGTTTTGTACCTAACAATTAAACAAATTCCAATTTTAAAGGCAGCTTGTTTAATTGTACTATGATTTCAAAACATTTAGGATTTTAAGTGGAGACAAACAATACTATACAAAAAAACCTATGGACATTTTGTTTTGTAGTGGGTTTTTTATGCGACTTTTTTATATGAATATTATTATGACTATCTGAGAAACATTTTTGGTGTTTTTTTTAACTATTACCTGGCTTGGAAGTCAGGAAGATTGTTCTTTGTGTATATATGGATAAATTGCATTTTTATTATTACTGATTTGTTATAGTATTGCAAAAATGTTTAAATATAGTATTTTCTTTTTCATACACTATCTGGAAAGTCTATTTAAGTTTTTTTTTAATATGGAAACTACTTTTTTGATCAACATCACATTATGTGACCAACCTTTCTTCTGACAGAACAACTCCTGTACTAGTAATATTGCATATTGCTCAGCAACTATTTACTACAGCATAGCTATTGTGTAATAACTGACTCTTATTCACGATTATTTTTCAGGCTCCTTTTTTTATTTCAGTTCAAAACACCATTTGTTTTAACTGCCAGTGTAATTTCTTTGGCTAGATATTCTTCCTTACGCTATAGAAATTAGATTTATATTATTATTATATATAAACAATTTTTGTACACCTTTATAAATATATTGCTGCTAGAATAAGATCTGATTCAATTTCTGTGTACAACAACTTTCTATGCTGTTATTGTCCTAATTGATTAATCTCTAGTCTGCAGTTTGTTATGTATAGATTTGCTTTTGTTCATCATTGGTTTAGTTTTATAAAAAGGTTCTTAAATCATGTCTACCCTTATCTCCATACATTAAATGTATATGAATGTAGTGATAATTATGATTTTAAATAATGCATTGTTTTTAATAGATCTTATTAATTTTATTTGTAAACTTAGCGTTGCTTGCAGTAGCATAAAAGAGCACCAAAGCTGTTTCTGTTTGAATCAGAAACACAGAATTAATCAAACTTATTACTAACATCATATACTTAGACTAAAATTCCTCATCTTCCAGTTAATTTTGTCTGTTGGACCAAAAAAAAAAACACACTAGTAGAGACTAACAACTGCTGATACACTATTATTTTAAAATCTTTCTGGCTGATTGCTTGTTTAAGAATTACAAATGGTTTTTCTTTTTTTTTGTGAAAGGCTTGTAGTAGAATATTTCTTATTCAGACTACTAGAACCTACTCATTTGATGTTTGGGTACTTGATCATTTAAATAAAAATAAATGTCTTTTATGTTATATATTATTTGGACAAGATACAATATGTAATACAGTATTTATAGATGTTTATACTATTTTCTATTATAACATTGTTATGTACTTATTGTGTTCACACATTTAAAATGGCCTCAGCATTTTACCCATTGCATTCCGTTAGTGTTGATGTTAATGAATATAATTAATTATTAAAAAAAAATAATTCTTATTTAACCCAAATGAAAGTTTTTCATAATACAAAAGAGAAATAAGCAGGTGCGTGGAGGGGAAACCCCATTAGTTATTCTCCTAATTTTAAAGTTTTCAGATTTTCATATTAAAAATACAATAAAAAAGAAACATCATTTTAAAGAATTTTTCATCACTACCCATTAGTTAATGAAAGTTATATCTGGTGTGCAGTATATAAAGCTTAGTCGCAAATTGCTGTTTGGGGCTTAAAGTGTTAAAGTATATTACTGCTCTGTGGTGTTGTGGTTACATATATAAAAAGCTTATTTCTAAATAAGGCTGTGTATTTTAAGGATCAAAATCTATATTGTTTAAATTTCTGATTAAACAATTGAAAATAAAAAGATGTGTTGTATTTTAAATATTTGGTTACTGTCTTGCAATGCATAATGTTGCATTAGTAATAGTAAATCTACAGAACAGTTCTTAACATACGCACTAACCACTGCAAGACCAGATTAAGTATGCACATTCTTACAATAAGCTGGTTTTTAAGAATGATCTCACAATAACACTAAACACTTTAAAAATATAATTATAACTACTACGTGAGACTCCACAGCAAACATTTTAACTGGTTTCTATAAACAAATACAACAATCACAATGGGCTTTCAAAAATACTTTATTTCAATTACTACGCACATCTTGTTATGTTAACTAAAGCCAGCAATATATGGGTTCTGTAGACCTGTTCCCACAACATATAAATAAGTAAAAAATGTGCAACTAAAATACCCAACTATATAAAGAATTATAAGAAAGTAAAGAAATTACATGTTATGAGCCTATAACATGTAAAATGACAGCTTTATATGGGTGATAAGAGAAACTGGAAACCATAGTTAAAATCAGTACCTAGTTAGCATCGGGAAAAAAGCAACTTTTTCTTACTAGGCAGTAATGTGAAACAATTGCAGATAATATTTAGAGATAAGGTTGGCTGGCATTGACATGGCATTTAGTTAAATGTTGAATCTTTATTAAAAAATACAGGAGTCTTTCAATAATCTCTAAATCTGTATGATCCCTTAAAGTGCAGGATTCTTAATTTTAAATAAGTTGTAGGGGCTGTTTACAAGATATAAAATGGTTTTAAAAATTTTGACTAAATGAGCTGATAACACTCAATGTGTTATAGAAAACAAACTAACGGGAAATCTCTGTTAAAGAACTTTTAAACTAACAAGACATTGTGTGATCCAGTAAACAGCCGTGGATTTTTTTTGTACAAGTAAAAGTGAATGGCAAACCTTAAGCCACAAGAGATTGCACCACATTATTTATATATACACCTTTACGATCATCTTTTTATTTTACACACAAAAAAATCAAATGAACAAGTCTTTTTCTTTGTAAAATCCTTAAAGGTTATTAGATGGTTCTTCATTGCCATACAATCAGAGAGAATTATGCACCATAAACACTTTCATCACTGTAGGCAATGTACAAGAAAAAATCTTCTTCATGGTGTTCCTGGAAAATAAGTTTTCATTTTCTAATTATACTCTTTACAAAATAATAACTATACAGGCCTATTAAAAAAACCAGTTAAACTATAACAGTTGTGATTTAATTTTTAAAACACAAAATGAAGATTGTAAAATGTAAAGTCTAAACTTTAGACATTTTTCATTTCAATTCTTTTTTTTTACTTGATTAACCACCTGGTTTTTATAATTAATTATTAAGAAAAATATTCAATTTTCAAAATGACTGTGATGATGTCCAATATTTTTGTACTAATAGGTGCATTAGTCCATGTTGTTAAAAGTAAAAAAAAACAACAATTTAAAACCTTAATTACTTCAAGTGATTTGTACTTAATTGACAGATACAACTTTACTTGTTACCTGATACAGTGCACCCATGGTGGCGCTTGTTGGAGGAATGACATTATTAACAAAGAAGAAAAGGGCATCCTCTGGTCTGAGATGAATTCGTTTCCTGATCAGAAAGTAAAACTGTCCAACAGTTAGATCAGAGGGAACCAAATACTTCTTTTTATCCAGGTCTCCAACACGGGCTTTGGGTGCCTTTTCAACTATAACCTAGTTTTTTTTTTTTAAAAAGTAAAAACTTGAATTTAGAGCAGCAATGTTAAGTCCATTATCTATAGCTGTATGTAAAGTTCACTTTTCAGACCTAACAAAACATAGGGCAGATGAAGGAAAGTCCACCTGTTTGTTGACCTCAGCTTATGAAGGGATAGTGTAGTCTGCAGTATGCCCAGCCACTTTTACTTAGCCTATTGTGGATCAGGTACCTATCAGAGCTGGATGGACACAGGGATGTCCTGCAGACAAAGTCCAGACCGAGATCGGAACTCAAGAATTTTTGGGTTATCAGCCAGGTGCTCTAACAGTAACACCCAACCATGCCATCCCCTGGCTGTTTACAATAATTATAGAATACTAGCTGTCGGTACCCGTTACATGTGAATTATAGATCTATATATTTATTAATGCTAAACTTGTTTGAAAAATATTGTATAAAATAGTTATTGGTCAAAACGCAATGTGCTTTATTACATGCTGAACAATATTAGTGACAAAGCAAAGAAATAACTAAATAGCTAAAAATCCGACACGTTTAAAATAGGTATAGAAAAACCAAATTATATACATTATTAGTCAACACAACACCTTATTAAATGAACATACTGATTAAGACAATTACATGATTCCTTTAAAAACCTGGCTGTTCAATGGTATTTCTGTTGTTTTATACAGTAATTTGTATTACTTTTGGCCAAGAAAACTATACATTTCATAGCATGCGCCCAGATAAGTAAATCTATAGATCTAAATCATATTTGAATGAAATAGTTCATTTCTTTATATTCTAAAGTTGAAAGATGACGCCTTTACTTTTGTGTTCTTTCCATAGTTTATACATTGTGGCTTGTGACGTCATTGTTTATTGCGTTCTTGTCACAACCATAATCACTTTTCAGGTTGCATAATTAAAAGTGTGTTTCTACTTTTGATCAGGCCCTATGCCTTTATTTTCCTTCTTTAAAAAATTTAGTAATTACATTTAAAACACCCAGCATATTATTTTCAACAAAAGTCTGTATCAAGCTCTCCATATATCGCTGAAGATACTGATCTCATAGCCTGTGAAAATATTTTGCGGACAGAGAGAGTTAGAGAAGTGCACACATGGGCTTTAATATAATATATATATATAAGGATGTTTTATTGTTTTTCATTATTACTATTAGACTATCAGCAATTACATTTTGGATATTCCCCCATATTATTAAACATTTAACATTCAAATGATTTTTAAAATAACACAATACAGAAAAAACTGAGAATATTAAAAATAATTAATCATTGATGATAGTAGGCATTCCGACTTCCGCTGTTTCGATTCGGTATTCAACATCCGGACTTTTCGATGCAGTCTTTATAAAAACTCGCCCTTTTCCGAAGAATGCCGAATCTCACTGTTGGAATCGAGTTTTTAGAAATATTCGATATAGATATTCTAGTGTAGTCGTATAATATGTTTCAATTAGAAAATTACCGCCATTATGACAATCTTTAAGCCGAAATCGATCGCACGATTCTAATGAGTTTATCTCGCGAACATGTCCCGTACGGTGCTGTCACATTTTAAATAAGTTTACGTATTAAACCCTTTATAAGTGTCTTGCCATTAGTTGTAAGTGTCCATTAAATAAACAAATATTATTATAATAACGGTTTTATGGCACTTACTACTTCTGCTTACGAGTTATCATACATGTCAAATCCCCGAGCTAGCGCTTCGGCCTTGACAACGCCATGGCGTCGGTTTAGCACCGCATTACCTATTATCGATAAAATACGCGCACTAATGCCAATGACGTAGTTTTCGAAGTTGGAAAGAATTTAAATTGTGGGTGGCACTGTTAAAACTAGATAAAATACATTGATCAAGTTATCTATTAAAACCGACAGGCAAGAAGCTTAGGCTTACATTAAATAGTGTTAAGCATTTCACACATACCTACTTACTTAGATTTATAAGGCTAATACTAATAGCCTTTAATAATAATATACTATTATACTTTATACTATAAATAAGTTATAGGCCTATTTCTTAGTATAACTAATGCTATATACTATATGTATCGATTGATAAAGTAAGTCTGGGCCTATTATTGGTTATGATAAGTAAAGAAGCTTGGTGATAAACTTATTTAATTATTTGTAATAATTATGCTTATGACATTAGTAAATAATTAACAAAAGGTGCAGCAATTGACATGGGGGGGTACTAATTAATAAGGCAGTGAATTTAGAATGACATGAAAAAGGCATGATAATTATTATTCATAATAATTTAGGATACAATTTTTACATTTAATAATAAAAAGTAACAAAAAACAAATAACAACAAACAATACGGATTGAAATCACTGTATGTTGCCAATATATATATTCATATAAGAAGATAGACAGGGAAGCTGTAACTTCTGATTTGGTACAAATTAACACTTAGCTTAATAAACTTTTACAAGAATTTAAGGTTTTTCTATTGATTAGTAATTTAGTTGTACCAAAATATCAATAGGGTCTTATAAAGGCCCTAGTATATTAAAGTAGTTTCCCTTTTGGACCTGTCAATCCATCATCCATAAAGCAGCTGAAGTAGAGTTTATCTGTTTCTTGACCCATGCACATGAAGTGATGGTGTGGTTAGCTCTCTGCCAAGCTATCTTTACTTTCCCTTGGGTCAGGTACTCATCTGAGCTTGGTGGATGCTGCACGCTGCACAGACAGACTCGTCTGAGATCTGAGCTTAAGACTTGCATGTTAGTAGTTGAGTGCTTTAACACACCATCCCTAGTTTTATTTTTCAGCATTCTTCTTATTACATGCTTCAGTATCAATTACCAAAATGTATCCTATCTATTATAGTAACATTCTGGACATACGTCCGTTGCAGTCACTATAATTACTATAAAAGGGTGCAACACCCTTTCATGGGACTTTTTAATTATATGCAGTCATACTTAATATAATTATTTTCTATATTTCTATTACCCCCACCCTCTAGCAAAGTTTCAATTTTAATATTAAAAAAAAAACATAGACTTTCAGTCTGCATATTGACCTATATAGAACAGCACCCCTCACTTTAATTTGACTTGATTAGTTCTAATTATCCTTCATCAAATTTTGATTTTACTTTCATATTTCTATTGCCCACACTCTCTAGCACTAATGTGCAAAGTTTTATAATTATATCTCGAATAGCAGCAGTGGTATGCAAGCCTAAAGCCAATCACACAATTAAATCCGATGTTACAGTGATATATAACAGGTTTAATACATAACTTTAAAAATTCATATAAAAAAAACTATTAGGCCTAGAATGATAAATTTGGTATTTTTATCAATGGGGTATATTATAGGATTAATCTGTGTACATTTTATCATTCTATGGTAATTAGGAAAAATATCCCAACATTCCTAATGATAGAGTGCAGAATTTGATCTAGATTTCTAAAACTATCCAGAGATTCTAGATTTATAATAATATTATAGATCTAATAGGTAATCTATCGCTTTAGCGTAATCAATTCGGCCGTCACTAGTAATGTAGGGATAAGGTAACTAAAAAATTTGGCTTAAATATGGATATATTTTTGCATATTTTACTAAAATACTAAAGATAATTGAATATTAAACCACATTTAAGGTTTAAATCAATAAAAATGTCAGGAAATTAAAGTTTAACAACGATGTTACAGATACTAAATTTGCTATTAAAAACAGCGGCCATCTTAAGAAAATATTATTTTGAGTCATTTCCCTTTAATTTCTATTTGTATGGAAATGTATTGATATTTGCTGTTAAATAGGTTAGTCTTGTGTTTAAATACAAAGCATGCGTTTTTTTTTTTAAATTCTGCCCTTTAAACAATTTAATTGACTGACAATAAACATCAGTTCTATAATTATTATTATGAGATGCAATTTTTATACATTAAGATACTCCCTATTTTTATAGAGCTACCACTACCACTACATATCTAATGTTTATTTAAATATTAGTTTGAGTTCATTCTTATTGTTTGTGTTATTGTTTGTTTCCTATTTTCATTTAATATTTTCATGCTTTTTTCCTTTAATTAGTGATTTAATCACAAATGACGTCCCGTTTTTGACCTCTCTTCACCTTAAACCCCCCCCCCCCCCCATTTTTGCCGTCACGAAATAGTCGTAATGTCGAAAATTACCTTTTTGCCCTGTCTATTAAAAAGTCAAGCCATAATTCTAATGAACAATATTTTTAGCATTTTTGTATTAGGCGAAATACATAACGTTTCACGTTTCTTACCCCTCCCACTTCCCGCGTAAAACGTCGTCTCAAAACCAGTTACTCCACCCCTTAAGTGTGCGATGTCATTTAGGGTAGATGTCAAGTCCTATATACATTTTGAATAACCTTTGTTGTCAAAATGTTGATACTAAATACCCAAAATGAGTTATATGGGGTTGCCCATAAACGATGTCACATATGCAATGCTAATGTGACGTCAACTTACGCAGGGTGGTCGGGGGGGGGGGGATGCGTGACGTCTATGTTGGAATCTTCTATAAAGCTGTGCTCAGTGAAAATGAGGAACATAAAGCGTTCGTTTTCATGCATACATTTGTTCATAACTATTGCATGCCTGTTGTACTAAGCGGTGTTAAACAACCTCAGCACATCATCCCCGCTAAAAAGGGCCTGCCACTAAATGCCTACCGACGAAAATAGGCCGCACTATATTGACTCCAAATGAAATAACTTCTGACAACAAGGCTCAAACCAAGTAGCTCCTGTCAACAATATTCGACAAGTATTGACTAGCAGGTAAAATGGGACAAATCGAAAATTGAAAGTTTGTCGCCTCTGGGGGGGGGGGGGGGGGGTGACACCATTAAGTGCCGCACCGGGTGACACTCGACCTCGCTACGCCACTGAGCTAATGTAAAGCCACAGCTCAGTATAGGCTTGAATTTAACATAAAATAGTGTTAGCAGTGGACAGCCTCTAAGACTGTGCATTAGGAGTACGGCCGTCAGCAAAACGCCAGAGTCCGACGATATCTGAACATCAATTTTGTCTTTTATGAAGTGCGGAGCACCTTTAAGACCTGAGCTTGGCCCCTGTTGACACCACCACTAGCGCCGCTTATGTCCACATATTAATCACACGTTTTGCGTGGAGCTTAATGGACAGACGTTTATAGGTGGGACCGGGAGCCTAAATGCATTTACCGAAGCCGCTGTGTCACGGGCATTTTAGAGCCGAACGTCTCAGGGCAGCAGGTTGCAGAAATTAAAAGCACGTGAATTTGTATAGTAGAGGGAGAACATCATGCCACTGTAATAAATTAAACACCAATATAATTCACCGAACTAAAGTTATTTAGATCTATTCGTCAGGCTAAACGTCGTTAAAGTCTCATCGCCATAGTGATTTAGGGCCTGTTTTGATTTTCTTTTAATTACGCGGTATCTTTCTTAAACATTAGCCTAATGACAAATGACGTAACGCGCGCCGCGAACTTTGTGACGTTGTGCTTAGTGGGGGATGAAACGGCGTGGTTGAGAAAAATGACGTATTTCTTTTTTTTTTTTAACAGACGAATAAGTGATAGATTCTAATTTTCCTACGAACTATACGTTGATCTAGTTTTTATTTCTAGTATTCTAGAGTGGGATATCACTATATTGTGATGGGCGATTTATATATAATCTCAATATATTCTGATCTACTACTATTCATACGGCAACTATTATACTCGTGAGGAGGACGGGAATCACTCTTATGTTCCGCAGACACTAATTAACAATGTCAACAACTTAGTTTATGAAATAACATGAACTTAATTAACACACACTTATAGATCATTTTCACAATATCAAATAATACATCCGTCTTCTACTATATCTAACCCCCAACTAACTTCACTGCTGCGTCTTACGTCATCGGTACATTGTCGCACCATGCTCACGTCATACTCACGCCACACATATTTTATTGAACACGCGCACAATACTCTCGCACCAAATCGTCTACCGTCAAGTTCGTACCGTCCTTAGTAACCTCTACTCGTCTAGTCTAATTCTATATATCTACGCTATGACACATATAGTGGGTGTTTTTTTTTGGTAATAATGGATGGTGGGGAGGGGTAAACATTGACTACTGAAGAAATCAAAAACTGATGACAGCAGAAGGCAAAGAAAAAAAAAACCATGTGGTATTCAAATGTAACTAATTAAAATTTGAACCTATTTTAAAAAAACACAATAATCTTAATTCAGAAAAAGTGTAAGCCTAAGACTAATGTCTACAGAAAAAATAAACAACTAGGCTTAATTAAATGGATCGCCCATAAATGACGTCATACTTTTCCCGACAATTTCCCTCTCACCCAATAGTTACTAAAAGCAAGATGATGATTTAATATCATATCGCAGTTCTACTATACCCGAACCCTTAATCACAATTTCTAACGAAAACGAATATATTCTTCATCATTTTTGAAAAAAATATTTTACACCGTCCCATATTTTGAGTCCAACGTCATTTATGAGGAATATGGACGACCTAATAATTGACAAGTTAAGGGGTCATCCATAAATGACGTCACGCTTTTTAAATACGATTTTTACCTCCCCCCTCCCCTCCGTCACACGTCGTCACAAAAAGTCAGACCCCACCCCCTAAAATGACGTCACACATCAGCCTACAACCCCCCCCCCCCCACCCCCCTCAAAATTGCAGTTGATTTTTTTTTAAAACATCGATATTTTTCCAAAATCTTGTCTGAAATATGTCAAAATATAGTATTTTAATCAATTCCTATTATAATTTATTAAAACTTTTTTAAAAAGCTAAATAATGTCTAAAATTCGTTTTCTAACATTTCTTATCTATAAAGCAAAAGTGTGACGTAGCACCATCTGAACCCCCCCTCCCCGTCATCACACATCGTCACAAAATTACCGACCCCCCCCCCTCCCCCCTACGATTGTGACGTCATTTATGGACGACCCCTAATCAGTACAAAAGGGTTTAGTAAATGTTGGACCTCCCAAAATTTTTTGAGATCTTGGATGTATATTCATACTACATACTACATACATAGCCTTCATTTCACTTGAAAATGAAATTAAAGATAAGAAGATGGCCCTCTGTCTTACTTATATTAAACAAGACAGGTATGTATATTAAACAACAAAGTCAACACAATATACATACGAATAGACATTTTTATCCAGGGAAACTACTCTAAATTTTATTTGGAAAGATGGCCGCTGTTTTTTTCTACTAATATTTATCTCAAACACCTAGTTTAAAGTTAGTTTCATGTTATTTAAATTGTTTTGGTCACTGTTTGTTATTTTAAATCAATTATCTGTGATATTTTGTAAAATTTGACTTAAATAAACTTATTTAAACAAATATATTCATCAGCTACCTCTCCCGCACATTACTACTGCAGCCGAATTGATTACGCTAAAACGATAGATTACCGATCTAATATAGGTAGGCTATTTAGTATTTAATATTTATTATTCTAGGATGATGAGTGATGACAAAGTTCAAATCAACAAATTCATGTCATGAAATCAAAATTTCTAGAAAATCCTAGTCTAGCCAAAACTCACTGGAACACGGTCTGGATACTTCTTGCGAATCTTTTCACCTTCTGCCCGTCTTTTTTCAAAGGGGTGTTCTTCTTTATACTGCCACTTCATTGTTGTGTTTAATGTAAATCTAGACTGCTACTAGATTCTAGAAATTAGTGGTTCTATTACTTTTAGTCAGGTAAATACAAAACGAAGTTTGTCAACAACAAAGATGGCGCACAGCTAATGTAAGATATTAGTGCGCGTTACGAAAAAAGTCATAAATACTAAATGTAATTACATTATCTGGAAATTATTTTAATTTATTACTACATTCTTTTAAAAACATAAATGCATTTATCATTATAGTGTGTTTAAAATGTATAGGAACAATAACGGTGTAATTTTTACAAATCTAGAGTTTACCTCTTTCCAACGGCCACGTGCGTATGAATTTCATGCAAACTTGACTATGACTGTGGGCAAAACCTTGGCAAGGCAACGATGCATTACGCTGTTACTAATTTTAGATCTCTTGCAATAGCACGTGATGTTTGTATTTACATAATTTATAAATAGCACTTTCAACACAAAAATGCAAAGATCTATAAATTATAGACTCTATAATTATTAACGTTTAATTGTGGTTTTTCATATTATTTGCTTACTTTGTATTTAAGCCGAAATATACATTTTAAATGTAGACCTTTAACACTGCTTACATTTTAAAAAGACTATTTCTAGATCTATGTAGAATCTGCGATGCCTTAGTCAGTGGCGTAGCCAGGATCGTCTCATGGGATGGGAGGGGGGGGGGGGGGGGGGGGGGCGGGGGAGAATAAAAAAAATGTCCAGCATTATTCATTATATATATATATATATATATATATACATGTATATATATATATATATATATATATATATATATATATATGTATATATGTATATATATATATGTATATATATGTATATATATATAATATATATATATATATATATATACATATATATATATGTATATATATATGTATATATATATGTATGTATGTATGTATGTATATATATATATATATATATACGATAAATACGATGTAATCAAATAGTATTGAAGGCACTTATGTCAATATATACCGCACAAACCACTCCGTCGCATCTTCACAAGCACCACATTCTTTAGTTCTTCGCATTCCACTTACTATGTCAAAAAACTTAATTAGTTAAAATTATTCAGTAGGCCTATTAATGTGCCTATAAGAAACAACCAAAACATTAACAAGAATTTCATATCTATTATCGATTCAAAGTTGCAGGAAATTTTCGAAAGCCAACCTACAAACTTATAATAGGGCCTATAATTCTATATGTAGACCAGATATAAAGCGACACGAACAACCGTTGTTAAAACTGCTAAATGCTCTCAGTGGGAAAAAAAAAACCTCACCTTTCACTTTCAGAAAATACAGACATAAAACTCAGCAGCATAATTCCCATGACTAGTTTTAATCTTTATGCTGTGCAAATGCGTTGTGATGATGTCATGCATATTTTTTTAACCTTCTTGAACGTAGGGCAAGAACGAGGGTTTTTAAAAAAATCATCACATTAATTTATATATATATATATATATATATATATATATATATATATATATATATGCCTATACTTTCTCCTAATGATTTTAAGTAGGCTACGTGTTGGCATATAATTTTGGTTTAAATAAAAGTCAGCTTTGCGTTGTCATTTCATTTTTGGGCGCTAAGCCATGGATGATGCACAAAAGTGTCTTGGAAGAAATAAATTGCGGATCTAGTCTAGATAAGCCCCGACACTAATGCAAAAAGTGCACGTGCGAAAAGTTAAGCGCCGCCACTTGTGACCTATTACTGAAATCTAGACATATTGAATGATTAAAAACAACTTCTTATCTGCCTCTAGGGTTAGGATTGGGAATAAAAGTAACAAAATACAGACCTTTTCATGCAGATTATTAATGCCATGATTGACGTCTCAATTTCACCCCTTGTCAATAAAATTTCAAAGTACGTTTCATATAATCATTTCATTATAATCTTTTTTTTTTTGGGGGGGGGGGGACTTTTTGACGGGGCTTATCTGGACAAGATCCGATATTGGTCATGATAGAGACAGCTGGAGGGCAGTGTTTCTTCCAGATTTTTTCTCCGGGGGGGGGGGGGCACTTGAAATTTGTGTGTGGGAAGACGGACTAAAGATTTCGGGGGGGGGGGGGAAGACACGGATACTGTTATATATTTTCTATATAAATTCCATTTAGTTCGCGGGGGCGGGGGGGGGGGGGGGGTAGCCTTTCTTCCCCCTCCCCCCCCCCCCCCGCAAGAGATGCCTGTAAGAAACTGCTGGAGGGATACCCTGTCTACGGCCCTGCTGAGAGGTGAGGAGACTTGAATGAAAGCTAAAACAGCCCTAGTCCGACAGCGGAGCACCACTAAAAATGACCATCACAGGTGGGACTCAACTACCATAGCTTAATGATTAATCAAGATTTAGAGGATCAAGTAGGCGATCCTTACTACTAAGAAGTTACTTTAGGGTGAATTCCTAGTTGTTGATTTGGTGTTTCATTGTCTCATTAGAGTCTTCCAGCTTAAGTCAAGTGTAGAGTAGGCCTATGGTATGTATGATTGACCAAACTGCTTAATTCATTAGTAAGTAATTAGTAGTATGATATACATGCTAGTACTATAATAGCTAATACTGACACGAATTGACCATCATGAGCACCAGTACGAGGAGAGACCATTTGTGTTGCAAAATCTACATTCTTTCTCAGGGCTAGGTTTTCAAAAATATTTAGCCAGGCATCCAGGAACAAGCAATAAGATTCTAGATCCAAATAAACACAATAACACCAACACTTTCCGCAAGAAAAAATAAGATGTGCCATTTGTGTTTACCTGAGTTTATTTTTAAAAATTGGTTAAGAGCAGCCGCTTATGAAGTCTACACAGAGGGGGATAGGGGTCTCTGATCAATGTCCACATGTTTAATTTAACCCCTCATTACTTAAAGCTAGAATAAACATAACACATTTAGCTTGAAGACAAAATGTATAAATTTAAATGGCATCTTTTCATTTAAAAAAGTTTAATATCCTACAACCTACAACTACTACAAAGTGCTTTGGGTTGAAATGGGATGGGGGGGGGGGGGAAGAGGCAAAATTGATCATCATAAACATTTATTTATATTTTTTTAAGCATGCTATACATATTACTAAACAGTAATTCTAGATTCTACTTTGAATAATGAAATAAACATTTTGGAAGCTGATCTTTCTTCTTCCTCTTTGTTCTTAATTTTAGTGTTGGAAGGGATCCCCTTCAACACAATTAAGTATACATGTCAACTGGTTATGTGCCATTGAGGCCATTGACTCTGATTTCAGCCTTTTTCTTGTTAGATTTGCTTCCATAGTTTTTGTCCAACCAAGAACAAACTAGAAGGCAGCAGTTGTTTTATTTTGGAGTTGTCTCTCCTAGAAGAGTGGCTGTCCCCAGCTAACGAGCCTCATCTGCCCGAGGGTTCGAGCTGGGAGACTTTTTGGTTTAGCAGCCCTGAGCTTTACTGAGTCGACCACTCCGACCCCTGAAAGCTGATCAGTTAATGCATTTTTAAAATTCTGTAATAAGGTAGCACAGACATAGACAATAGTGAATTAGTATGTTAAAAGAAGCCTTTGTCTTTAGATAACTTAAAGTTTTGTAGACATCTACATTTTCCACATCAGCCATCTGTTTGTGTGTGTTTAAATTTACATCATATTATTATTTATTATGAACGACTTGAAGTTTTACAAAAATGCTATGAATATTAAAATATCATAGAATCCAATTATTTAAAATCATAACTACCTGTCATTCAAGGTATAATTTAACAATGAGCTCTGACAATTTCCATGCCAAACATTGATAGGTCCAGAACAGTTAAAATATAAATCAAAATCCTTAACAAATTCATCACGGCGCCACCATGTGCACAATTGTCTGTTCCATCCACAAGGAAGAATAAAAAATAACTCTTCATTTTCAAAAGATAATAAAGTAAAAAAATCTTGATCTCCAAGATGACCTTTGAATTTATACTTTTTAACTTGAGTCAAAAGAACATTTTCTGTAAAATAAGAATTGTACTTTGAAGATGTCCTTAATTTGTCTAAATCTAAGAGCACAACACCACTGTTGAATCCTGTTAGTCCAAATGGTGGAGGGTCACCTATTCTTGATTTTGGATGATTTGATCTATATTCCCAAAATACATTTTTGTAAACAGGTTGATTTTCTCTTGCAATTCCTATTGCTTGTTCTTTATCAAAATAATGAAATAAAGAAAATAAATCAGCAATATCAGATTTAAAAACTAAATCAATATCCAACAGAATTATTTTAGAAATATTGAATGGCATTATTCTATGAAGCACAATAGAAATGTAGAAAACTGGATCACTGAACTGATGATTTTTTGCACTAAGTTGTTCGTGAACATTGCTGATTGTCCTCAAAACATGACCTTGTAAGGTGTTTTTATCATAATGAATTACCTGAAATTTAACAATAAAAGTATATAACAACACATGGAAGTAATATTAAAATATATGTACATTTCAATAATAATATGTAATTGATATTTGTCTTCAGTCTGTGCTGTAAAAATGACTGCTTCTTCAATTTGTGGGTAACTAAGAACAAAATAATTTCTAATCAACCTACTTTTGATTATGTCAATGATTAATTGCTAAAAACAGGACAACATAAATAATATGATCATATATTATAATAAATTTAAATACATTTTACCACTGATGAAATGATGAACCCATATTAAATTATGCATAACAACATGATCCATCCAATCTCTATGAAACTATACGAAGTTGTTGAGTAAACTCCTGCAAGGTTTATGGCTTGAAAAGATTTTTAAATTGGGAAGGGGGCTGAGAATGGACAGAAGTTTGCAGTTGGACACCTTGAGTTCCCTTGTGGCTACCCTAGCGCCATGGGTTTGCTGCACAAGAAATCAGGGGTACTTTTTCAATCAATGGCCACTGTAGACCAGGGGTAGACTGGGGATAATAGAGAGGTCCGACTCCGACTTCAGCGCACCTGTAGTACTAGTTAAGAAAAAAGATGGGTCGACAAGGTTCTGTGTAGACTATAAGATACTTAACGCAGTCACAGTCTACGACGCGGAACCCATCCCAGATACAGATGAGCTGTTCGCTAAATTAAATAGGGCAAAATATTTTACTAAACTCGACCTCACAAAAGGGTATTGGCAGATCCCCATGCAAAATGACAGCAAAAAACTCACCGCATTTGTCACACCCTGGGGCCTATTTCAGTTTAATTACCTGCCCTTTGACCTATGCACAGCACCCGCCACATTCGCCAGATTAATGCGAGTCGTATTAAACGACTTGGAAAATGTGGTGTCATTTTTTGATGACATCTGTATCTACAGCGAGGAACACCTTATGGCAATAAAGGCGGTGTTCAATAGATTGAAGGACGCGGGCCTGACAGTAAGACCTGCCAAATTAGAGCTAGGGTTTGAAAAAATTAATTTCCGTAGTGGGGAGGGGGCTACTGACACCAGAGAAAAACAAGGTAAACAAAATCTTAAACGTAGCAATACCCACCACAAAGAAAGAGGTAAGATCATTAGTGGGTCTTATAGGGTATTATGCTAAATTTATACCAGAATTCAGCGAGGCCAACGCAATACTGACAGATTTGTTAGCAAAGGGTAAACCTGAAAAGGTCGCGTGGTCGGATGAATGTAACCGTGCTTTAAGACTGGTCCAGAAACACTTGAACTGAGAACCATTTCTTATTTTACCTAATATTAATGAGCAATTTATTCTCAGGACCGACGCCTCGTCATGAGGTATCGGAGGCAGCCTTGATGCAAATGAGAAATGGGGTCCTAAGACCAGTAAAATACATCAGTAGAAAACTCCAACCGAGAGAGACTCGGTACTCTACTATAGAAAGAGAGTGCCTAGCAATTGTCTGGGCCACAGGCAAACTAGCGTTGTATTTATACAACGCTAGCTTCGTACTGCAGACGGACCAGCGTGCTCTAAAATACCTTCATAAATGTAGGTTCAATAATGCCAGACTGACACGCTGGTCCTTACTGCTACAGGAATATAAATTTACTATAGAACACATTCCGGGGAGGGATAATCTTCTAGCTGATTTTTTGTCAGAAATTTTAGATCGGGAGTCTGAGATGTAAATTGTAACTTAACCACAGAATTGTTTGTTTTTTGTTTTTTTTCTGTTGTTTTTTTTTTCGGTTATTTTTACTCGGTTGTTTGTCTTGGATTCATGTACAAAGAGGTTTATAAATGCATCATTTATTTACTCTCCTCTTGGTGTAGTATACCTGTCAAACTATTTTTTTTGTTGTTTTTTTAAATTATTTTATTTATTTATTTATTTATTTTTTCTCTGTTTGTTTTTCGCCCTCTAGGTTAACTTAGGATTTGGGGATTTAGTTAGTTTTTGTAGTATGTACTACAAATACTTGGGTGGGGGGGGTAGTGTTACGGGTCAGTTGTAGGTTAGACTAGAATAGGATAGAATGATCTAGAATTAGGGGAGAGTGAGTGTGTGAGTTGAGTTTACCCTAGAATATTGTTAACCCCGGTGTGTTTGTGTATTGTTATCCCAAGGTCGAATGCGGTATAAAAGCTGGAGTGAATGGTTGTCAGGGGTTAGTTGGTAGTGGTTAGGTCGAGGGCTATTCTGTAATGTGATATGTGAGACCTAATAAACGTATTGAACGTTAACCCGAGTCGTTCTTGAATTCGAATCTAACCTGGACGCAACACCAGGGGTATCCTCTGACGCCCCACTGGTCATGTGAACCAAAGCACCATGGTGCCTTTATTAGTTTTAAAGAGCACCCTAGACTTGGGATATGGTGGGCTAATACAACTGATTATAGAACAAAAAAGAGCATCCCTGCTGTAGCGTGCGCAGTTGCACCCACAAGCACCCCTAAAAACTAAGCCATCATGATCATTGAGTGGTTTTCCCTCATCCTTACACATACACTCAAAGTATTTATACAGCACATCCTGAGCCTCTGGAAGGTAGTGTAGACTAGCCTTGCGCCCCAATAAATATGATCCAAGAAATGCAGAGCCGCTGCAAGTAGCATTTACTTGAATTGTGTTCTAATGAACTGAAAATTATACATTCGGTACCTTGCTGATGGTGCAAACATATACACAGCGCTGATGTTTGAAGGAGACTTCACACAGAAGTGGGGATTATCATTGTTCCTTGTAAATTACTCAACAACATGCAGTGGATACCTTATTTTGTAGTTGAATATGCATAGTGAATGAAAATGACACTTTGGAAAGTTTTTTCCAAATCAAAGTATATATATTATATATATATAGAAATTAAGGTATGTGTGTGTTTTTTTTATGCATTACTACACCTTTTATCTGATCACCATGAAACTTCGGGAAGTTGGTGACCATACTCCTGGGGGAGGTTTCTGCTGTAATTTGTTTTTTTTAAATTTGCCTGGCAGGGTGCAATTTGATTCCTCTATATATACTTTATAGTGGTTTGACACCATTCATCTGAGTGCCATGAAACTTTGGGGAGTTGATGAGAGAATAGGCCCAATAAAGTTTATACGAAAAAAAAATTCTTATGGCGCCAAGGAGGGTATGATTTTTGTCAAAACACAGTTTGGCACCCAGAGTTCCCGAATGGCTATCATAGCACTTGGTATCCCTTAATCAGGTGTCCTGCGAAGCAGGTAAGGGCTACTACTATATTCAGCAGTAAAACTGCAACAGACACAGCCGCCAGCGCCCCAGTCATTGTGTGTCCCAAAGCACCCTGGGCTCCCCTGTGAGCACTATGGTGCCTAAGTTCATTTTAAAAAAAGGCTATACACTAAAGACACAATGGGCAACAATACTTGTTGACTATATCAAATCAGGCGTGTCTCATGAGCCTTATGGTGCCTAATTTTGCTTTAAAGAGTGCAATAGGCTATGGATACAATGGGATGTTACTGTAGCGCCATTTAGTGTCACTAAATCAAATGAGGAGCGGCCACCGACGCCCAGGTATGGTGAGATTTGGCGCCCCGGGGCTATACGATGAGCAATGTAGTGCTTAAATTCATTTTAAAGATTGCGATAGACTATGGATAAGATATGGTATTTTAGATGTTTACTCAATTGAATCAGGCGCATCTGCCAGTGCCCAGGCATGGTGCGATTTGGTGCCCCGGGTTATTCTGTGAGCACTATGTCAGTTTTAATGAGCACTCTTCAATATTGACATCATGGCACATAACATCCGATGATTAAACCGAGCCTTGGGTCGTACGTGGCCCCTCTGCGATAGTGTAACTGGGGACTCCCGAGAACGCCCCCTCTATGCCCCTGACACCTGGGTTGTTGCCTAAGTGTATTCTACCTCACAATTACGGAGAGTGATTAACGTACACTAATGGCTTAGATACACCTCGCCCTAGGGCGTTCTGGGCAGAGGGGAAGGTGAACCAGTGTCCCAACAAATATGATTCAAGAAATATAGCAGTAGCATTGTTTACATTCAATTTAACTAACCCCATTTTAAAAAAAAAGGGACACCAGTCTAAGAATATATTATTGGAAACACATTGATGAAACCCTCTTAATAATAATATATTTCATCAAACTTTCTTCAAACCCTGCGACAAGGCAAAGGGAAGGGCATGCTAGTACTATATACATTATAATAAAATGTAAGTTATATTTGTATTAGGTTCATAACTTTCAGTGTTAACTATCTATAGTAGTATATAGTATATACACTTCCTTCGTACTTAATACATACCTCTTTTACTTTACCATGATTCAGTTGTTGAAGTAAGTTTTTTGCAATATTAAAAAGTAAGTTTTTTGCAATATTAAAACTAATATAATCTCCTACAATATGAATATGAAGATCCTGGAACTTTTTCTTAACAAGGAATCAATACATCTTGCAAAATTATCCTGAAGTACATTATTTTCTTCTGCATTATTAAAAAGAAACATAATATTGTAATCTTGGTTTGAAGAATACTTTGCAATTTTGAGGATTTTACCCTCTTTTTTAATTTTATTGACTGAAATATTTTGACGTGCATTGTTGTCAGAAACAGCAGGCTTTAACCAGACTTTACTAGCAGGCTGCTCCCCTTCCATTTCAATTTCTTGTTCATTGACTGCACTGGACAAAAGAACTGATTCTTCTTTTATTTTATTATTTTTATTCAAATGGTGTGCATCTAGATCTAGGGTATAATTATTGGTTACAACCAAATATTTAAAAATTAACAGCAAAGTAACTAATACTGCACAGACTATAATTATTTTTCCGCGATATAAGGTGTACAATCTCATTCTAACATCTAGACTAGATCTAGTCTAACTAAGACCTTTTTTCAAAACAAAGGAGCTAACCGGAAGACATGACTTTAGCTGATATTTCCGGCAATCATTACCATAGTAACAAAGCTTCATGGTGATCTTAATAAACCATTCGATTGTTTTTTTTTCCATAAATTCGCATTTTAAAACAAGTAGATTCTAGAATCTATTAATTCAAATCCCATACTTATAAAACAACTTACAGAGCATTTTATACATATTAACGAACAATAACATTGTCATTCCTGCTGCATCTGTTATACAGTATTTAAGCATATATTTACAGAGGCGTAGCTGGTGGGGGGGGGGGGGGGGGGGGGGGGGGGGGGGGCGTCCCGGGAGCCGACCATAGGGGGCGCCAAAAGGGGTAGAAAATTATTTAAAAGCTCATTTTAAGCTGCAGTTTTAATTATACACAGTAAACGTTGAGAAATTTAACGGCTATGAGCCTTTGCATACTGATTTAAGTATTTTCTACCTTGATTTTGTAACTATCTTCTATATATATAATTCTCTTCTTGGATACCTTAGAAAACACCAAGCTGTAAGCGCGCCTAGCAGGCAGCCCCCCTCTCTTCCTCTCTAAGCATATCCCTACCACTCCCACCCCCACATGGTCTGGTGAGCTGTGGTTCACGCTATATGTTTACAATCGTAGAGGCGGGTTTAGTGACGGCTATTAGGTGCAGATAATTTAGTTTGAAACGATTTTAAACTTAGGGGAGGTAACTAAGAGGAGGCTGCTTTCACGGATGGGTAGGGTAGGGGTTGGGGGAAAGGAGGGTGGGGGGGGGGTATCGTCCTTAACGACCTACTGATAGTGTTTTAAAGCAAATGTTTTCAGTGGCAGCATTGGTACTGTCGAATTCACAAATTATGAATTACTGAAAAGTAGAAAATAAAACAACTAAATAACGGCGTATGATACGCCGCGGGTCGGCTCGTAAATATCTATCTATATATATAATTCTCATCTTGGAGACGATAGAAAACACCAAGCTGTAAGCGCGCTCCCTACCACCCCCACCCCTACAAGGTCTGGTGAGCAGTGGTTCACGCTAAATGTTTACAATCGTAGAGCCGGGTTTAGTGACGGCTATTAGGGCAGATAAGTTAGTTTGAAACGATTTTAAACTTAGGGGAGGTAACTAAGAGGAGGCTGCTTTCACGGATGGGTAGGGTAGGGGTTGGGGGAAAGGAGGGTGGGGGGGGGGGTATCGTCCTTAACGACCTACTGATAGTGTTTTAAAGCAAATGTTTTTCAGTGGCAGCATTGGTACTGTCGAATTCACAAATTATGAATTACTGAAAAGTAGAAAATAAAACAACTAAATAACGGCGTATGATACGCGCGGGTCGGCTCGTAAAATATCTATCTATATATATAATTCTCATCTTGGAGACGATAGAAAACACCAAGCTGTAAGCGCGCTCCCTACCACCCCCACCCCTACAAGGTCTGGTGAGCAGTGGTTCACGCTAAATGTTTACAATCGTAGAGCCGGGTTTAGTGACGGCTATTAGGGGCAGATAAGTTAGTTGAAACGATTTTAAACTTAGGGGAGGTAACTAAGAGGAGTTTACTTTCACGGGGGGGGGGGGGGGGGGGGGGTTATCGTCCTTGACGAGCTACTGATTGTGTTTTTAAAGCAAATGTTTTCAGTGGCAACGTTGGTACTGTCGAATTCACAAATTATGAATTACTGAAAGTAGAAAATAAAACAACTAAATAGCGGCGTATGATACGCGGCGGGTCGGCTCGTATACTATAAAACATATACCCTTGCCTTAAGAAACAGCGAGCGGAAAAAAACGCTTTTCAGCTTTCATAGATTGGGGGGGGGGGGGGCTTTTTCGAAGACTAAAATCGGACAAATTTGCACTGGATTAGTGAGTAGATAACCGTTATAACTTAGAAAAGAAACCCATTGTATTTTACGATTGTGTAGCATTGAAAAAGAGTTAGTGACGTTTAAAACCCGCTCTACCAACTTCGTCCAAGATGGTGGAGGGGGGAGGGGGGGGGGACGCTTTGTCACCAACAAAAAAATCGCAGGATTTGTGCTGGATCGGTGAGTAGATAACTCTTTTAACACTTAGAAAAGAAACCAATTGTATTAACGCTTAATGTACAATTTCACAACCCAGTTTTGCTAAGAAATGAAGCGACTAGGTCTTTGTACCATTCTTACGATTCTCTCATCTTTAACGTGATTGATCAGATACTTGTACAAGATTACTTTACATCTTACCTGGGTCACTGCATGGGGCACCTGCCTAACTGGAGACCACCGTCCGGTTTGTTCATGAAGTTGGACTTGTCTGAATCCTCCACCATATTTCTCAATTTAGAACGAAGAAGAAGAAGAAGACTGCATTAAAAAGAAGTGTTGCTATCCGATCAGTAAAATAGCAGCTAGACTGTCGGAGCGGATGGGTGGAATGCGACATTCTTTGCCGAAATTTTAAGAGAGAAGAAAATAAGTATATTGTGCTGAATAGATCATTTTTGAATGTTTTTTTCATAACACTTTGTTCGGCGTAACTGATAATTTAAAATTGTAATATACTATTATCAAAATTGTTCTAGACAAGACCAAACGTATACCAAATACGCTAGCACCTTCTACAAAGTACACTCTAAAGTAGTGGTTCTTAAATTTTTGAGGAAGTACCGAACCCCACAAGTTTCATATGCGCATTTACCAAACCCTTCTAATAGTTGTATCATCCATACTGACAAAATCTGATCTAGAATCATGAGTCGGGTGTGTGTCTTGACCTACGCCGAACCCATGAGCCTGACTCACCGAACCTCTTGGGCAGTGTTTCTTCCAGATTTTTTTCTCGGGCGGGGGGGGGGGGGGGGGGGGGGGGGGGAAGATGCTCCCCCGAGGAGATGCCAGGAAGAAACTCTGCTCTTGGGTTCGATGGAACACACTGTTCTAAACTCTTTTGATTTTCTTTTTATTCATTTCGGCTTCATAATTATCATAGGCGTAGGCAACACTTAATCAACTCACTTGATTTTTATGAAGGTCGAACCCTGATAATCCAGACTCCCCCTTCTCTATTTCAAACAATTATAGTGATGTTATTTTGTTGTCTTTCTCGTTATATTGTGCCCTAGCCACCACCTATTTATTCTCCACTGTCTTTAACCTAGCTCCGAGTCATACAGTAAAAGTCTTTTACTAAAAGATACATAATATTTAGGCATTGAATTTTTTTGACAATGCATTTGTTAGAATGTTAAAACGCATTTCATCGCCTGTGATTCTAACTGAACATTATGGACGGTGCCAATATCATTAAACCGATCATTACAACTTTTTCCACCAATACAACAAGTTCTGCATTTTTTATTTTTTTTTTTGCGAGAAGGCAGCGCACATCTGATCAATCCGTGGGATTCCAGTTTGTTTTCTCTAGCTTCATCGTTAGATTTCGATAAGTATACCGACCTTAAACTGAAGCTAATGCTGTTCTATTGACGACACAAAAGTAACAATGTCGTCTGCACCAATTGCAGAGCGAAATCAGGGTGCGTAAAGCAGTTACATAGCTTTATAAACCATCCTTATTATTATGTTTCCTTCATTTGTCTATTTTATTAAAGTTAAAACACTTTGGTAGACACCCTGGTCCTCGGCTTAGCCCTTTGAAAAAGAAACATTACTTATTTTCGATAACACAAACAGTCGCGGCCGGTAGATCTAGATCTAGTATTGCAACTTGTGGCGTTGTTAAGCCATCGTAACAGAGATCCATATATTATACTTAAATAATAAATATGCCTACTAATAGTACTATAAAATCATATAATTAGGCCTAAATATTAAAAAGTGGATATCTAACCTCCAAGCTCCAGAAGCACCCAATGCTGAAAAAAGTGTCACAAAAGCCAGGCTACACCCCCCCCCCCCCCCCCCCCCCCCATGTATTCTACTAGTTAACTTAAACTTTAAACTTACGAAGTGACTACTCAGAAAAAGATTTTTCGGCATAAGATCGTAAACTTAATAGTTGAACTAGGGTTAGGTTAGGGACAGGGTTCTGCGGATTTTTTTTGTAAACATGTGCATGCGCAGTACCATAGAAAACATCGCTGTGAATGAAGGCGGGAGTTTCCCTCTATTGCGCATTCATATATTTTTCCGGCCTTAATTAAACTTAACTACCTGGGTACCTACAATATAAACAAAATATATCAGTTTAAAAAACTTGGAAACTCATCTGAAACAAATCTAGAACTACAATCTGGAATGACACCCCATGCCACTCAATAAAATGTAACCCAACTAAGCTTGTTGTTTCCTATGTTCATTTTTGTCTCGCTATTGTGATCTAATTTAGATCACAGCACCATCTAGCCTCATAATATAAGCTGTTTAATTGAACCTGTTTTTAAAATGGGTATTTAAATGGCAGAGAACTAAATAATAGTTTGCTAAATTTTCATAAACATATGGATACCACTTGATCTTTCATTGGGGGTGCTGTTAATGGTTAAAAAACCCATTATTCACTGGCTTCCAGTCTTTGTTGTTTAAAGGTGATACTAGCATTCACTTACAACAAGTTTCATCAGAAGTAACTAATATATATATATATAATTTGATATTTATAGATGCTACAGTTTATGTTGGTGGTCTTGATGAAAAAGTTCAAGAAAATATTCTTTGGGAGCTCTTTTTACAAGCAGGACCTGTTGGTATGTATGTCTTTTGGGTTGCATTTATCACTGTGAAGGCATGATTGTATTTTGAGTTAACTCTCTGATGGTTGAGAATACTACATTAATTAAAGAAGTTGATGTCTTTTTACTTTTCAGTCAATGTACATATGCCTAAAGACAGGGTTACACAGTCACATCAAGGTTATGGATTTATTGAATTCATGAGTGAGGAAGATGCAGATTATGCTATTAAAATTATGAATATGATTAAGCTGTTTGGTAAACCCATCAGAGTCAACAAAGTAAGGGACTGTTTCTTTTACAAAAAAATACTAAACAAAAATTTAGTTGATTTCATTTAAAAAAAGAAATAATTACTATGGATAACTTTAGTAGTAATAGGTATTTAAAAAGTAATAAATGAATACATGTTTTTTCATTATCAGGCATCTGCACACACTAAAAGACAAGATATTGGTGCCAATATTTTCATTGGTAATTTAGACCCTGAAGTTGATGAAAAATTGTTATATGACACATTCAGTGCATTTGGTGTTATTTTACAAACTCCCAAGGTATGTATTTTCCATTTGTTTATGATTTTTTTGCTTAGATCAAATAAATCATCTGAATATTATAATTATTAGTAGTTTTTGTTATTCTTTAAAAACTTCTCAAATTATATCCATCAGATCATGAGAGACAGAGATTCTGGAAACTCTAAAGGATATGCCTTCATAAACTTTGCCAGCTTTGAAGCTTCAGATGCTGCCATAGAAGCTATGAATGACCAGTATCTGTGTAACCGTGCCATTACCATTTCATATGCTTTTAAAAAAGATGCTAAAGGGGAAAGATGTGGCTCAGCAGCAGGTAATATTTTTATTTTATTTCTCCTTAAGACTGCAAGTATGCAGTGTAAAATAAGCAACGTTACAATAATTTGTCAGGTTGCCTGTAAAGGATTTTAAATTTGATCATTTAATTTACAGAACAAAAATTTTATGTTTGAATTTTAAGTTTTGTCTTTTATTTTCAAGAGACGACAATTTCACGTTTTAAATTAAATTTTATCATTGTTTTGTAGAGCGTTTACTAGCTGCACAGAACCCGTTGTCTCTGACTGGAAGGCCTCATCAGCTGTTTGCTGATGCTCCACCACCACCCTCACAATCCATGCCTGGTGTACCGGGTGTTCTTGTGCCCCCACCACCACCTCCTATGGGACTTACGCCAGGAATGCCACCCCCTGTGCCAGGGATGGGTAGGTTTTTAAATCTGTTTTTACTATTACTACTTTATACAATCGTTAACTTTATTGTGCAATAAGTTTTTTAAATTGACACTTTTCTGTTCCTGAGTTATTACGGTCTAGTGTTGAAATATTTTAATAATTATTATTAATGTTGATAGCAGTTACGTTAACTTATAGTTGCTTAAAATGATTTTTTTACTTTCTCGTATATACGAAGTATAGAGAAAGTATTGTAATCGTGCACAAAAATCACTTGAAATTTTAACAATTTTCACCGTATTACACCTCAGTCCGTCATCACATCCGAAGTATAGAGGACTTATTTTAATCGGGCAAAAATTATCAATCCAGATTTATCAAAATTAAGAGGTTTTATGCGTAATCCAGTCTGAAAAACTGGGCTTTGCAATTCTGTCCGTATGTCTGTGTGTCTGTCCATGTGTAAACACGATAAATTTCATATATAAGTATTTTATCAAAATCGTAGATCCGTATCAACTTTTTATTACTTAGTTTGTTGTTAAGTCACCTTAATATTAAAAAAAAGTTGATTACCACTTCAGTACTTTATAGCAAGCTTTTGCTTCATTGAGCATTAAATAGCTGTAATATTGTTTCATTAGCTTACTTCCTAAGGTAATTTTTGTGGTAAATAAAATACAATATTTATTTTCTCTTACCAATTTAGTGATAGAATACATTTTACTTCACATTTATGTAATAATCCTGTATGTTTTAAAAAGAAAAAATATTTACTCACTGTCCTTTTTTTTTAAATATTAGGCTCAATGCCACCTATGGCCCCACCTCCACCAGCACCTTCACCCATGCAGCCTCCAGGACCACCAGGTATGCAGCAGAACTACTCAATGGGAATGCAAGGGATGCCTCCACCTCCTATGCCCCCTGGTAAGTGGTAAACCATTCTCATAGTTTCAGCTTACTCACATTTTCACTGCATGATCAATAATAATTATCTTTAAAAAAAATCAGTTACCACTAATCTATTTTCCCACGTTTTCTTTAACTTGCTTTCTCTGTGTGTTTCTGTGTTTGTCTTTCCAATCAAATCTTGCGATCGAAATTTCTGGCACTTCCCAGTTAGCTAGCGCGCTGAAATTTTCAGGGAAGCTTTGTTTTGGATGACAATTGAATATTCTATTGTTTTTATTACTAAATTAATCCATGGAAACATTTTATTGATCATTTTAGACCGCTATATAATTGTACCAAAAAACGTGGGGGAAAAGGGACATTACCCAGTAACTGTAATTTGATGAAAACAAGGTTCGGCACTCCCCCTCTTTTTGCTTACTGAGTAGTTGTCACGCTGTGTTTGTGTACAAACAACCATAACGTAACAACTGGTGGCCAGTATGGGGGAGACGATATGGTCGAGTGGTTGGGCACACGATTGCTATCCCACTCGACACGGGTTCAAATCTATGTGTTCTAGTCAGTAACGTATTCACACAACGTGTTTTTTACGAGTTGTCTTTTTACGAGTTGTCTTTTTACGAGTTGTCTTCGTTTACCCAAAAAAAAAGTGAAAAGATAAAATCGATAGCAAGATTTACATGCAAACAAACAGACAAACACTAAAAAGTAGAAAATAATAATCATTAAAAAAGTTTTTAAAAACCCACGTTTTCTGATTGAACTAAAAAGTAGAAAATAAATACTATACATCACAATAATGCAAGCGATCACTCTACTATAAGCTATCAAAAACGTGGGGCGCCGTGATTTTCTTACAGTTTCTAATACTGTTGACTCTCTACAAGCTCCCTAATAAAAGTCAATAGTATTATCTAATCAATAGTAATATAACTTTTACTTCGGCGACCCACGTTTTTGATAGCTTATAGTAGAGTGATCGCTTGCATTATTGTGATGTATAGTATTTATTTTCTACTTTTTAGTTCAATCAGAAAACGTGGGTTTTTAAAAACTTTTTTAATGATTATTATTTAAAGAAAAGATTATAGCTAAGTCTTAATACACTGTTTTTATTAACTTTCAAAATGATATGTTTCTACATATTAGTAAATTAATTAGTTACATAACTTGTAATTTTAGAAAAGTATTTAAAATATTCTAAACCTATTTTTGGACTTGCAGGTCAAAATTATCAGGGCAACCAGATGCCACGTCCTCCTCCTCCTCCTATGCCAGGAACAGTGGACTATAGTGGTCAAATGATGAATAATAATATGAGTAAGTTGATAAAGTCAACATTTTTCTACGGTACTTTTTTACCTTGAGGCTGATAAAATGTTTTTTAAAACTCAATTCATATTTGGAGACTCATCACATGACATCCATTCGTGATCACGAATAAAATCACTTTTATTTCTGTGATATTTTTTGTCCAGATTTTAATTTCATTACTGATTAAAACTCATTTAATATGAATGAAGTCCAACTAGTTAACTTTTAAAATACATAACTTAAATATTTCCAGATCCTCAAATGCAAGGCATGCAGGGTATGCCACCTGGTCAGATGGGAGGCATGAACTATGGCATGAGGCCTCCACCTCCTGGCTGGAGAGGTCCCATCCCACCTCGGGGACCACCAATGGGTTTTGGTAAGTGAATTCTAATTCTCTAAGTTCCAGATATTTGGATGGAATAGTGCGCCTATATCCTGATTACAAAATACATTACATAGCTTCTACAAATATATTTTCAAACTTTTATAGTACTGCTTGTATTCTTAACTTTTAAAAACTTTACATAGTTTGAACCCAAAACAAAACCTGAAACAAAACTGTAGACTCCTTGATAGTACACTTTTTGGAATAAAATTTGCAAACACCTTGATAGTATATTTTGTACCCTTTGATGGAGTAGCATAGACGTAACCTTGTTTCTATACTTTCCCCAGGTCCACCTGGCAATATGAGAGGCCCAGGTCCTATGAGAGGACCAATGAACAACATGCAGATGAATGGCCCACGTGGTCCCATGCCTCCACGGGGAATGAGGGGACCACCACCTGGCATGAGGCCACCCCCTCCAAGGTTTGGTGCTAATGGGGAAATGAGCAGTTCTGGTAACATTGAGTATTAATTCCATGAAGGCAGCTGTTGGATGTTTAACTAATAACCATAGGGTTCATTCATCAATCATTTGCTAGACTCCCATTGGTTTCAGACTAAACTATTACAATTTTCATTCCTTAGAAAATTGGGACATGTCATGAGTGTAGCTGTAATATTTTTGTAAATAAATGTTTTTATGGTATAAATTTTGTTTTGAATTTTTTCTCCATAAGAAATGAAAAGATAGTCTTGATTTTAAAAATCAACTTTATTAATCAGAGGCTTAACATCCATTCCATTCAGTTATGGACAAAAGCAAATATGGTACATGAAATCTGAAATATATGTACAAAATATGCACTTTCACAAGACAGATCAAGGAAGGAAGAGTCTGAAGATTACTTAATAACAAATTTATTAAACAATAAATTTCAGTGATATTAGGTATCAACGCAATGTTGCATTCTAGTCACAAGCCTGCATGTGATAACATGTCATTTAACATGTTAATCACAACACAAATATATTGGAATTTACTATACAACAGTGTACATGTATTTGCTTATACAATAGGCTTACACTACATTTTAAAGGTCTCCCATTGCCTTCCCAATACAAAAAAAGATATATACACTTGCAAGATTTAAACAAAAATACTCTTTAAAAATAAAAACTTAAATTTAGAAATAACATTGTGAACTTAAAGAAACGGTTCTTCAATGGTACTTGTGTATTTTTTTTTTACGACCAATTCGAAAACATTTAACAAAAGCTACTTTGCTTTTGTTAGGCATTGAAAAAACAAAAATATTTTACCATTACCTTTTAATTATGATATGACAAGAACTAAATGTTTACAAGCAATATTTTAAAATTAAATAACATTTCAGAAAATAAAGCAGTAAACGTTACACTTTCACATCTCATATTTTTAATTATATTTGAACACATTAAAATGTTTGTGAAATCTGTAAAATGAAAAATCTTTTTTTGAAAAAATATACACATTAGTGGGAAAAATAGCTCAGTAAAATTCAATTTACAACCATTATAAGAATTTTGACAAAATAAATGATTGCAAATCAAATATTGGTATAAGAAATTTAAGCTAATTGCTTACGGAAATATGAACTGAAATAGTTAATATATAATTTATTTACATACATATAAACGGAAAAAAAAATTGCAACAAATTATCATAACAAATCAACACTATCTGGAATATCAGTCAAATCGATGGAACCATTAGATGGCCAGTTGATTTCATGAACAACTTGGTGATTGGGCTGAATTTCAGCCATGTTGACCATGACATGTTCAGGGTCAGTTACCGTAGCCGTATCCTCAGTGATGGTACTTAGGTCATTTTTGTTAAGTGATGGTGAAAAGGTTAGAAACTGAGCCAGGGAATCTGGGTCCAACATGGCTGTGGTACCATCATCAAGGCTGATCATGATCTGGTTGGACATGATAGAGTTTAATGGGTTCTTGTGTGTCCTCGGCACATTACTAGAAAGCTTGTTGGCTGGACCAACAGATGGCGTGTTGGCAGGTGAGTTAGCAACAGCTGAGGTAGAAGTTTGGTAAAAAGGCTGGGATGAGCTGGCATGTTGAACCACCAGCTTAGGTAGGCTGCTGACAGGCCGGTTGATTGGTGTTGATAAAGGCTGGGTGGTGCGATGTATTTTTGGGGTTGTTGGTGGCTGTATGACTCCTGAGGGAATGATTCTAGTCATCTGTCCAGTGTTGAGAATGATTGGCTTGTCTGTGATGGTTGTAGATGATGCTGTTGGAACAATGGCCTGATTAGATACAATGCTTTCAATGTGGGGCAAGGTACTGACCTTCACCATCTTGGCTTGACCAGCAGTTCCTTGTACAATATTGGTTCCAGACAATGTGATATATTTGGTAGATGCCGGAAACCTTGGTGATGGCACCGTCATTCTAGTTGTCTTTGGTAAGTAGGTAATATTGGGCGTTGCCCTTGTGGGTGGGCGTGGAGCAACAATAACAGTTGGGATTTCTTTCCCAGGAACTAAGACAGTGTTAGTTACTCCCACTGTGCCTGTTGGCGACTGTGTCACCAACTTGGAAGAATTGATGAAATGATATTTATCTCCAGCCTTAGTTAACAAGGTTTCTTTAGGGAGCTTGGCACCGCCTGTAAGTTGCACCAGAGTCTGATCCCCGGTGATAGGAATTACAGTGTGCTGGGCCCGGTTCACAGTCAGTTTGGGAGTCTTCTGTGAAACTGTGTAGACGGTGTTGTTGTTCACATAGGTGTCATGGGTTACAGGATCAACGGGTGAGGCTAACATTCCTTGACTGGTGCTTGCATCATGCGCAGCAACACTGGAAGCATCTATCCCTGCAGCAGCAGTTGCTTGCGCGATTGTATCAAGGACAGGTGCTGAAACATCTTCATACATGTAAATAACTTGCTCCTTTGGGTCTTCTTCTCCAGGTAACTGTACAAGACGGCCATCTACGTATCCATAAAATACTTTCCCTCCAGGCTTACTCACTTCTTGAGTCTGGTTAATATCTGTGTATTTGTAAACAACCCGCCCACCAGTTTTACTGATGGATGCAACTTGGCCAGGTTTATGGATAACGTAGTTGGTAGGTTGACCTTTGGAAAGAGGTTGGGCCAACTGGTCTGAACTACGATTCAATACCTGGATAGGTGACTTATTGACCAGTTCTATATTTTCCTGAGTTTTTAGAATTTTACTTCCTGATAATGTAGACACAGTAGATGTGAGAATGTTGTTGGATGAACTATCGTAAGTGAGGAGGTTCATCCCGTTTGGCGACAAGGTCACAACTCTCACAGACACAGGTTGCGGTTGCTGTTTCAGTGTGGACGTGCCGTCACCGACTGAGGCGGCTGAAACGGGGGTAAACTTCAATGTTGGGGGGGTTTTCACAGGCACTGGTTTGGAATGTGATATCAAAACTTTGGTGGGCTGTGTTAACTGTTTCCCAGTAGCCTCTGTTTTTTCGCTGGACACCACAGACTCAGATTTCTTGGAAACTAGATCAGAGGGGAGTCTTGCTTTATTGGGTGTATACTGAACAGTTTTAGGCTTAAATGATGGGTTCAATACAGATTTAGAAGATGATATAGAAATCATTTTCTTATCTTGTGGAGAGGAAGTTGTGATTGGGGATTTCCTCTTTAAACTGGTAGAGACTGGTACAATACTAGTTTTGGACTGCGAGGAAAAAATAACTTTATCTTTGGATGAGACAGGAGTTGCTCCCTCTAGAAGTTTGATGTTAGAAGGTGACTTTGACTCTTCTTTGGTAAGGTGTTTGAATAGTTCTGTGGACTGTGTTTTAATAACAGGTTTATCTTTTTGGTTGCTTGACAATGAGTCATTAGCAGAACCTTCAACACTACTGTTGGTTGTAGTTTTCAGTGCTGCATAGGCTTTTCTAAGCTTTGCTCTTTTAGCTTGGTATGCTTGTTTTGTTTTAACTTGATTCTCTGATTCTATTTTGGCAGCTTCCTTAAGCTGCTTCATCTTTTCTAACATTTTACAAGGGTCCACCAATACAGGATCTTTGGCAGGGGTTACTTCTTTTGGCTTGCTCTTTATCTGAGCAGGTCTTTGTGCAGAATTTCTGGGTGATTTCCCTTTGCTAGTCAGTGACTCCTGGCTACTATTCTCACCAGCTTCTGTGGGGTCAGGCTTGCTTTTAGGCAAACATGGGGACGACACTGGCTTAGTGACAATGTCCTCCTTGGCAGTGTCATTTGGGCTGCTGTAGCGTCTAACCAGGCTACGGTCCACTTTCTTCTTTTTGGTGTAGCTGGTGTCAATATCACTCGGGTCAAAGATTTTTGGCCGTCCCCTCTTTCTGGCTGGTAATTTAGAAGCTTTTACCTCAGCATCTTTCTTGACAGGCCCCCTACTGGTAGCCTTCTTATGAGAGTTTAACTCTTTCATATCCACTCTGACATCTTTTAAAACAACCTTCACATTGCTTTTCAAATCAACAGACCTTTTTGTAAACAATGGACTGTTATCAGTTGACTTGGAAGAGGAATCATCAATACTTTTCCTTATGCGACTGGTATTTCTAGTTTCCCTTCTCTCCTCCAGGCTTGTTTCTGAACTTCCTCTTCTAGAAGAGCTTTTACCTTTTTTCTTGGCTGAACCTGTGCTTGATGGTGACTCTAACATCTTCCTCTTCTGGCCAACATCAGTGGATGAGGCACTCTTGTCCAGGCTAGTGCTTCTTGTCAACCTCCTACCTGTGTTTTCATCAGCTGTCAACTCTTCATTGACTTTCTCTGCTGTTTCTTCAGACGGAACCTGAAGTGCTGCCGCATCCGTCAAAGAAGAAACCACCAGTGGTACACTTACAGGTTTTGGTTTTCTCACACTGCTTCTTCTTGGCCTTTTTTTATTGCTCCGTTTTCTAGGCCTGGGTGGGTAAATTCTCTGCTTGACAACGCGAGTCAACGTGCCATCTTCCTCAACTCTGACATTACCCTGGATGATATCACTGCTGTCTTTGTTCAAAGATTTGCTCCACTTCAAGTGCTCTATGATTCTCTTGAGCTCATCCTCATGGGCCAGGTCTTCACTGGTCAACTTATTCTCCTCTTCCTTCACTTTCCTAACAGCGCATATTCTTTTGTAATGGAGATCAACACCTTTAATATAGGTAAACCTCTTGTTGCAGTAACGACAGGTGTGCTGTTTCCTTAACGCCGCATCATCTGGCATGATCTGACTGACCAGTGGTTTTTGGCTCTGCAGCTTGTCGCGGCCGCTGCACTTCTTGACGTGCCTCTCCAGCATGGAGAGAGAGTTGAACTTGAGGTTACAGCCATGGCACTGGTGCTGGTCCAGTACCTTGTACAGCTCTCTCCTCCTCAGGTGGTTCTGGGGGTTGTACAGCAGCTCATAGTTCTTACTTTTACTGCTTGCATAGAAAGAAAAATTTGATGAAAGGCTGGAACGGTTCGGGTAAGCTTTGTTTGCGGGTTTGGATTTTCGGGGCACTTCAATGTTTGAGCAGACCACTGCTGGGCTAGACTGTTGAGTTCTTGGTCTGTTCAGTTCCATGGGTAGAGTTGAGATTCTGTTTGATCTACCAGACTTTGTTTTTGATGAAATAGCCTTGGAGGTTCCTGCTTCTGTGTCCTGGGTCAGCCTTCTGTCCATCAAAGTTAACAGCTTTTTCTTCATGAAAGTTGGCTTTTGGTTCATACACTGAGCTGAAACAACCTCCTCTTGAGCAGGGTCACAGGCTAAGATGTGTGAGTGAAGCTTGTTGAGGTTCTTGAAGGGGAACCCACAGCGTGTACAGACATACACCTCAATAGGTGGAAGGTCATCTGGGATGAGCTGTGTTTCAGCCAGGATGCCGTACCTCATGGGGTAGTAGTAGTACATGTCTTCAACGTCATTGTCCCGCTCCATCTCCAGTGATGCTGGCTCAATGTGGGGGTGTTTCTTCAGCTGGTGACGGAAACACAAGTCCCAGCAGCTGAAGTGACGGTGACAAATTGAGCACACAACAGTTATTGCCCCTTTCTTACCAAACCAAATGTTCTCGTAATTATTCCATATCTCTGGTGGCTTGATGATAAATTCATTTTTTCTCTTAGCGTGGTGAGAGAGCTCAAACTCACTCTTAGCCATCAACCCCATCATTTCAGCCATCTTTAATTTAGAAGCTGCGAATTTGGTTGGTTGCTTGGTTACCTCCCTATCCCTGCTGATTTTCTCAAACTCGTAGTTGACCTTCTGCCTCATGGCTTCTTGCTTTCTCACCGTCTCCACCACAGGACAGCAGAAAGTGTTTTCTTTGCTTTCCTCATTCACTTTGGGGTGCAACTGACCACTCCAGATGGAGTAGCGTCTGTTGTCATGCTTGGATGTGTCTGATGTGTTGAGGGCTTCTAGTGAATGATCAAACTGGGGCTTTTTACCATGAGACACTATTCCTAGTGAAGACAGTGACAGTGTGCGATAACGTCGAGCTGCCACAGGAGAGCTAAGCTGGGTCAAGGACACACCTTTCGACCACAGCTCCAACAGTTTAGCAGAAGAGAGCTGACAGCCCATGACATGAAGATTAAGTGACTGAAGAAATAATAGGCTGTTCGTCTTTGGGCTGGACTCACCTTGAACAAGGTCACCCTTTGAAGGTAAGGCGAGAGAAGATTCTAAATTTATGCTCTGCATGAAGCTACTGCTTAGCACTTCAAGTTTCTTGTCTTTAGGTAAAATGGGTATGGCCTTAGTAGGGCAATCAGTGGCAGGCTGCACAGCTGATGTAGTCAGGAGGGAATTGTCTACACTATCTACATTAGTCTCAGGCACATTAGGATTGACATAACCAATACACAGTGGACTTGGTTCTCCAGCACACACCTGACCCCCAGCACAGTTTTCAGATTCCCTGGACCCTGGCACACAGCCATCAAGACTGGGGCATTCACTTGAAGACAAGGAGCTGCTGGCGCTGCCCACAAGGCTTTGGTATTCACTAGAGGGCATTGAACTGAAACCACTGTCCAGCCTGTTCAACCCAGGCACCTCTTCATGCACTGCTCCCTGTGTTAAAGCAGCTGGACCTTCTATGGCATTGTCTACCATGTTGTTGATAATACTCCTACAGACTATGTAGTTATCAGCACTAATCATTTCATCAATCTGCTTCTTATCCAGGATTTTATTTGAACAGTTGTCAGTGGTATTACTCTCTTCATCTTCAGACAAGACTTCGGTTTTACATTGGAAAACTTCACCGCCTTCCTCTGTTGTCCCTTGCAAGTCATGGTGAAGAATACTACCTGAATCCGCAAACAAATTTCTGTTACACTCTCGTAAACGTTTCTCTAGCTTGTTGATTATAGCATTGCCCCTTTCTGAATCTCCTGTTGGAGCAAAAACACAGACTGGCTCAGTTTTAATTGTTTTTTCTGGCAAAGACACAGCACTATCCTCATTACTGGAGGCTTCTTCTTTCTCTGTCTTTTCAGTTTTAGCTAGTTCTAGGGTCTCAAGTAATGTTGCCTTGTTATCCTGGTTAAAAGATATTTCCTCTGAGCTTGGGTCACTTTTGTCATAGAACTGAGTGCAATCTTCTTGGTACCTGAAGTATGGAGGGAAATTGTAGAACGTCCATTCAGTTTTTGAATCCTTCATCCCTTCACTATTAAAAGGTTCTGAAATAGAAGTATAGCCATCAACTTTGATATACTTTCTCCACTGCTGAAGGGATTCAAAACCTCCGTCTATGAAGTTTTTCATGTTTTCTTGCCCTTTCCTGTTGACATTGGCATAAAAAGTTTTTGGTGAAGGTGGTGGGGACAACTCCAGGGACGAGGACTCCATACCTGAGGCATCTTCTTCAGCAACATCTTTGGACATTTGATACAGATATTCCTGCACAGACTGGCTTGCGCCGTGGGTGTTTGTTCTATGCTGAAGCAATCGTAAATGTGTTGTAAATCCTCTGTCACACAGCTTACATTTGAACAGAAACTTGGGCATGACTGGCTCTACTTTAACTTGCACTATTTCCTGCATAAGCTTTGCCCTTTGCCTCTCTTCTTCAATCTGTGCTATTGTTTTTGAGGGCCTTTGCTTTCGCTTAGCCTGAAACCCAATGCCTGGTTGATTTATACTGTATGATGAGAACTCCTTTTTATCCTGGTTGAATTCAATATTTCTTATATGGTCAGATGGACCAAAAATGCGGTTCAGTTTGTTCCTGCGTGATTTCTCTGCCTTGACATTTTTCAGGTATTCTTTCAAATTGAGACCTGCGTGTTCAGTTCTCAAATGTTTCACAAGGGATGCTGCATTAGGAAAGTAGATGTTATTGCACCCATATTTGCAAGGAAAGTTTTTGCCAGAATGAAACCTCTCATGCATTTTTAAGTATGTATCTGTAGAGAATCCTTTACCACATGTAAGGCAGCGAAATTTGAAACCTGTCAATGAAAACAAAGTAAATATCATGATCATCAAATGTAATGAATTACTAAAGTATGAAAAATTCAGATATTCAGATTTATAAACAAACACCAACATTTAAAATTAGGATTAGCTGCTCAAGAAGCATTGGCACTTATAGAAATATTGAAATGAAATAATTCTAGATCCACTCAATAAGTAAACTGCTTATTTAAATGAAATACAGGCTTTTTAAAACACGCTCTAAAAAGTTAGTCGGTGATTTAAGATGATCCCTAAGGGGAGGTAAGATGATAAATGGCTAAACAGGTTCTAGGATTAATTGTCAATTGTTATATGTATTTAAGGGGTCGGTATGGTTGAGTCGGTAAAGCCCATGGTTGCTAAACCGAAAAGTCTCTAGTTCGAACCCTCTGGCTTATGAAGCTATGTTAGCTGGGGACAGCCACTCTTCTAGGAGAGACAACTCCAAAATCAAACAACTGCTGCCGTGTAGTTTGTTCTTGGTTGGACAAAGGCTATGGAAGCAAATCCAAAAAGAAAAGCAGGCTGAAATAGGAGTCAATGGCTTCAATAGCGCATTACCAGTTGACACATATACTTAATTATGTTGGAGGGGATCCTTTCCAACACTAAACTTAAGAACAAAGAAGAAGAAATGTGTATTTAATCAATGTAGCTCTATGTTTAACAATTTAAAACCCTTTCACTCTGTATCATAGAAGGTGCAACACTTGCACAATCTTCAATTATCACAGATGTCTCTTTACACGATTAGATTAAATATTAAAGTCAAAAGTATGTCTACTTAATTAATTTTAAGTACAAAATAATTGTAAAAGACAACTTACTTTCATCCTCCTTGTGATTCATCAGGTTATGCCTGATGAGGTTAGTTTTATTGGAGAATCTGATATTACACTGCAGACATGCATACTGTTTAATCCCCTTGAAGCGATGAGGGTCATTCTTTATATGGTGCTTGAGTTGGTTCAAGGTTTTAAACAGCAAGACACACATGTGACACCTGTACAGGTCATCTGGCTGACCAGCTAAGCTTGGGTGCCTCACAGCTGGGGCCAGGCTATGCAGGGGGTGGGTAATGCTTGGAACACTTTCATAGTTCTTTAAGGTGGGAGATTTTAAGATTTTGAAATCCTGTCCGTTGGTTGGAGATGTAAGCTGGATGAAGTTTACGGACTGTAGTCCTGTAGGGGACAGAATGGGTGAGGTGATGGAAGATGATGTTGGTGATTTGCTGATAGATCCACACGACAGCGGAGCTGCACTCACTTTGGAGTTTGTGAGAACTGTTGCTGTGTTCCCTAGACTCATCACGTTCAGAGAGTTCTGGAGAGACTGCAGAGTTTTTAATGCTGTAGATGACTGCAAAAAGGCGCTAGTGGCATTTTGCACGTTGAGTCCAGGGGGGAGTTGGGAGATGAGAACCAGAGGCATCCCTTTAGCCTGGCTCTGGGATACAGTGGCAGAGTTTTTAGAACTTCCAGACGTGGTCTGGGGCAGACTTGTAGCCAGCTGTGGAGAGGTGGGGGAGTGCTTGTTTGGTGTGACGATTGGGAACACAATGTTTGTCACAAAGATCACCTGTTGAGGGCTAACCTGGGCGGGGTTCTTTGGTGATGAAATCCCTGAAACTGGAACACCAGGTGTTTGTGGTTTATCCTCACCTGAGTGTTGCAATAAATTAGTCTGTGGCTCAGGTTCAACAGAAACTTTAATGCTAGAGGTAGGTGGGTCTGGTGACTCCTGTTTGCTGGGGGAATGTGATGTGTCAGCTTGCAAGGAAGCTGCATTAGATGATTCCAATGATGAGTTAGGAAATGTTTCGGCACTAGCTGATTGATCTGGTGCTAAACTCGTCAACATTCTATCTGAACCATCACTGCATATAGAATTAGAATTTCCTAGTGCAGCACCACTCTCTTGTGTCTGTCTATCACATATATCCTTAGATGTGTCCACAGTAGAGTCTTTTTCATCAACGGGTTCAGCATCAAAACTTAAACAAACACATGAACTTTTAGTAATTTCCGTTGTATGTGCACACAAAATACTTTTCTGCACTGCACAAGAATCTAACTTTAGGGCTACAGTTGCTGTGTTGACTTTGTCTTCTGTGGTATTTTCTAAATGTGTTTGATCATTGATCAACTCAAATGCACTTGTCTCTTGTATTGAATGATTTTGTTCTATCGCAGTTTTTCTGTCAACAACTGAACTAGTAGTTGGTTTGTCAGCAACAGGAAACTCCTGAGTTTTATTTGTTGTAACAATTTGAGAACCTTCTTCATGCAAGTCTGTAGGTTCTGGAGACTGTCTTATATTCTGCAAGTCTGGCACTTCCATACCTGATTCATTCTTAGCTGCTACAACAGATCCATCAGATATCTTGCTGTCCTCATCCAGTGAATGTGTGCTTTGTTGAGGATCAAGTGAGGCTGGACAAGGAACTTCACTGTCTGCAATAGGCACAACTTTCTCACACTGAAGATTTCTTTCTTCATCAACAATCATTGTTTCAACAGGTAACTCAGTACTGTCTTTGTCATCAGAAACTAATGGGGAACCCAATTTCTCATTTGGTGTTTTTGGATGAGAGAGTTCAACTACTTTTTCAGCTAAACACTTTAAAGTTGGAATATATTCACGCTGCAGTGAACTTTCAGCAAACAGTTCTTTCTTTATTGCATTTTCTGACTGTTCCTTATGCTGCAAACTTTGTTCAGAAACAGAATTTTCTTTCAATGTCTTAACCTCTCTGGTACCACACTCAGGAAATGGATCTAGTTTTTCAAAAGAAACAGGCAAATGAAACACCTCCTGAAAATCCTCATTCTCAAGATGGACTCCAGCATGGAATGTGTCGATCTGACAGCTCTTGATGTCGCTGCTGGTCAGGTAGCGGTGGTTGATGTGGACACCCAGATAGTGCCTCTTGAGACTAAATGCATGGTTGTACGCCCCATCACAGATATCACACTTGTAAAAGATTTTTTTACTTTCCGGTGCACAGATCTTGTGCTCAGGCAAGAGAGTGAAGCGGATAGCAAAACCCTGTTGATTGTCTTTTAGGTGAGTTAAAGTGTACATTTGGCTAGCAAGCTGTTTGTTTAAACAATGGCATGTTTCGTCACATTCTTCCTTTAGTTGTAGGTTTTTAAGCTCGTAGGTTTCATCATTGTCTTCAACAACTTTTGCACCTTCATCATTAATTCTAAATATAATAGGTTTTAGAGTTACGGCAGCATTTCCTTTCATACTCCTGTGGGGCCTAGGCTTTCTCCTTACACTGCCGCTGACTTTTTTCTGTGAGTTGGACTTGGCAGTCTTGTCGTTCATAATGTTCTTGTTTAAATAGTGAACGTGGTTGTTTTGATTGACTGAGTCGATACCACCCATTTTTACGCCTCTAGGGCTCACATATGATGGTATAGTTTGTTTCTTGTGCGATTTTTTATCCCTATAAGGTGATGAAGATGTCTGTTCATTTTCTGATCGAGATTTACTGACTGTTTTATCTTTGAGGTGGGACAAAGATTTTTCTTGAAGTTGTTTTGAAATCTTGCTGTCTGATTTTTGTTCAGACAAAGTGCCTTGTTCTTTGCTAGCATTAGCCTGTGCTTGTTTTGTCAGGCGTTGAAGTGTTCTTGCAATGGCTACGGGGTCTTCATCCAAACTGATCATATCGCTCATGACCTTTTTCTTGCGTGCTCGTTTGGTTTCAATAATCTCAGGAACAAACTTCTTCTCATCACTCCAGGGAACTAACTCTGAAATTTTTAAAAGGGTTATGGTTAATATCATATATTTATAAAGAACTACTTGCATACCTTTTCAACAGTAAATATAGAGTTCTAAAATAAGATGCAGCCCATATACATAATTCATTTGGTATTATAAACTATCATAGGGTTGTTAAAAAAAAAAAAACAACTAAATGATATAAAGCTTTTATTGAAAACTAAATGCTACTAATAATGTAAGTATACAGTAGGCCTATGATTAATCTTATTAAAAAATCGTACAACCTATTGTGTAGCCTACAGGCTTCCTTTCCATTTTTGATAAACGTCGTTTGGTCCGTTTCAATAGCTTTGGATCAAACCATGTCAGCAGCTCCTCTCCAGGCTTAATATCCTAAATAAATAAATGAAATTTTGTTTTAAATAGTATTTTAACTTCAAAATAAGTGTATTTTCTACTTCTAATTGAATGTATATTTTTACCTTCATTGCAACATAAAATATGCTAAATCCTTCTTGGGTGGACAGAATGTTCTGTTCTTCATAAAATCTAGCACAGTTGACGTGTCTCATCCAGTTTCCTATTTGACTGTCCATAGCACATACTGTGTGTTTTAAGACATTACTTCTTTTTTCAAGCACCTAAAAAGATATTTGTGTTAAGCTTCCCTTCTTGATTTTATACTATAGTAGAAGGTTTATATCATATGTAGTTTTCTTCATTAAAAAAAAAAACTTATCATCGAAGCTTTTAAACCTCAAATCAACAAATTACATATAAATGAACACATAAATTTAGAACATTAAAAATATTAATGCAAGGAAAATAAAAGACACATTTTTAAAGTTGTTACATTTTCCAGTGACAACACAGAAAAACTTACTTCCCAAGCATATCTATAGTCAATGTATCTTTTGACACCAGCTTTTATTATCTCTCCTTTGTAAGGACCAAATCTTGTATCTTTACTTATCAAACAACAGGCAAAAGCACCTAAAAAATAACACAATAATATAATAACTACAGAAACTAAAATTTAACAAATCTCAAAATATGTTATGACAGTATTATTAGATGATGTTCCCCCTTGTTCAATATAAATTTTGGTATGAAATAATTATAAACCTCCTTGTCCTTTATGAATAACAGATTCTTTGATCTCAATTGATGAAGGAAGCTCTACTGTATTATATTCCATTTTGGAAACAGCCGATGAGCTTTCAGCGGCTTCAGCCATTGTATCACTCTAGTCTGCTCTGAAAAATATAAAAAGCTACAACAGGAAGGGAAAATAATTTATAATTAATTAATTATTTTAAATGCATTGGCCTAGAATTCATAGGAATTTTTTTTTAAAAGAGTGTCCACGATATAGCCCATGAAATAGTCAAAACACTTTCACACCTGATTGTCCACATTTTAAATGAAATAAAACTTTTCTTTCTAACCAGGACCTATGAAAGGATTGCTGCCATATTTCCTTTCTCTGGGTTAGATCATAATGGGCCGTCTTTGCTTGTTCTGGGTACCAAACCAATTGATGTGTAAACTCAAAACATGTGAGTCTAGGAACTGAACTACAGACCTTCAGATTAGCAACCATCTGCTCTACCACTAAACTATGCCATAAGGCAATGGAATTCAATAACCTACATAAAAAAATCAATCCAACATTTAAAAAAATATATTCTTAGATGAAATAGCTACTATTTGTTTTTGGGGCTCCAATAGTGTGCACTTCCATAAATTTATGATAGGTAAGGCGTTAGAATAAGGGCTAGGGTTTTTATTAGGGATGTGCTTGTTTATGTGTTATGGTCACCGTGTCCCCAAATCCCAAATTTCATATTTTACTAACTGAGTATTATGCCTAGCTTGGAGGTCGGGTCGGTTAAGCTCATGGTTGCTAAACCGAAAAGTCACGAGTTCTAACCCCCGGGCAGATAAGGCTTGATAGCTGGGGACAGCCACTAATTTAAGAGAGACAACTCCAAAATCTAACAACTGCTGCCTTGTTTGTTCTTGGTTGGACAAAGACTATGGAAGCATGTCCAAGAAATGAAAGCAGGCTGAAATAGGAGTCAATGGCCTATATTGCACAGTACCAGTTGACATAATACTTAACTGTGTTGGAGAGAATCCCTTCCAACACTAGAATTAGGAACGAAAAAAAAAAGGCTTAACTTAAAATTAAAAAAAAAATGAAATATGAATTCAATTTCTTTATCACTAAAATATTCCTTAACATTTAATCATAACTAAGCCAGTTACTTGTATTTTTATTTTTTTTAAATTTATGCCCTACAGAAAATTTTCGGTCTAAGTTGAATTTATAGTGATCTCTACAAGTTGGGTTTAATCAATATCTAATGTAAGGCCCATAAAGTCCACAATCAACATTTAGCTGTTAATATGTGGACCTAAATGCTGTTACAGTAGTGTCCTGCCTTAATCAATTTTAAAGTCAGTAGGTAGGCCTAACATATATACTATATACAGGCATTAACTTTTTTTTATTTACCAGTTAGCAGGTCAGAGAAAACACTCTAAATTGACTTTTGTCCAAAATTAATCACTGGCCTAGTATCTAAAATAATCATAGCTAGCTTTTCATTAAAAGAAGCAATTAGATTAATTGTTAAGTACAAGTAGTAGTAGGCTTAAAATAAATGCAAAAGTTAATGGTGAAGAACTTTTAGACATCCAAGTATTCAACTTTAGCCTTAGTTTATAAAACAATGATAGCTAAATTAGTCTTATCTATTATTGTAATTTATAGGCCTACATTTTTAAAATCAATCAAATTCAATAATTCATTGGGCCTGAAAAAAAAAACATTTTCACTTTTGAGAAAGGGACATTTCAAATAGGGGCTACTTATTTGATAGAAATATTATAGGGGTGAGAATCGGCTACGTGTTTAACTAAAAAAATTAATTTTGAATAGTTTAATATCTTGTTTTAAATCTAATTAAAAACGGTTAATAACGTTACCTTATTAAGGTACAGTGCACGGGGCAGCCATTTTGCTATATAGGCTACGTACAGAGGGTAATCATAAAGGTAGCTTAAATTCTGCAGAGCCGTCACTACATTTATGCTTGGCAAACCGCATACACTATTCTGGCATATTAGGGAGATGTACATTTGTTCTATCATACAGTTTTAAAAACTGTACCTTGTTCAATCATATAATTGTTTTCTCTTATTAATGACTATACTCTATACTTATATAGTTTGCATGCACAATGCTCTGATCTATGCGCAGTCATGTTGCGCAGAATACAGTTAAAAAGCCTAAGGCTTTGGTATAAGTCATTTTCTGAATACTTATTTATATAAATAAAAAGAAACCAGTACGCTGCCTTTTACCAACACCAACGTAAAATGATTCTGTATAAAGTTGTCAATCTTATTCACACACGATTACACAATTTTACTGAGCCTGTTTTAAGGGGAAAGTTGACTATTTTACATTCATCCACAATCAAGCGCTGTAACTCATCATTGCCCTGACTTAGATCTTATATTCAATACATTTGACCAGAAAAATTATTTGACCTTTTTTTTCTTGCTAGTTAGTTTTATCTCAATATGAAACTAATACATATTACGAAACAGTATACAATCGAATAGACTTACTATATATAGAGAATTTACACCAACAAAGATATTAACACTGAGTCCACTTTTCATATGAGGCGTGCGTTCATTCTCACACGTCTTTCCACAGCCTTGTAACGAAGCGATCGGAAATGGATTAATTCAAAAGGGGTGCTACTTTATACTTGAGTCAAATTTTAAATACGTTTTGGTAAAGTTTTAGTAAAGTAAAGTGTTACATATTTCTATTTTTCTTTTAGATTTTGTTAGAAAATACGTAATAGTTGTATACATATATTTTCGGGATGATTTGAAAGTAGAAATAAAACTAAATTTAAGCTGCCACCCCTCTGATGAATCGAAAAGTTGACTTGTCTTGCCAAGAATATTCCAGTTAAAATGTATGCATTTTTTCTAATAGCTGTATTTCGACCTAGACGACATTGTATAATAAGCATTTAAACTTAAATAGCTATAATAACAATAGGCCTGATAGTTGTCTGATTAAATCATAATTCTAGCTGTAGTTTCGTCCATACATGCATGGGCCATACATTCCAAAATCTAAATATAAACTTGTTATCATGAACGTCATGTAAGAGTAACTTAGGCTAATCAAAGATGTAGAAAGCCTATGTAAACTGGGCAAGAAGGCCCATACATATTAATGAATGTATTACAATATAAATCATAGGTGATATCAATAAATATAAAGTTAAAATAAATTATATTCAATTGTTTAAAAAGATAATTGTTTTAAATTTCCATCTGAATATGCTGGTTAAAAAAAGTATGCTTGCTTTCCAAGACTTAATAAATAACATGTCTTATTCTACCTAACCATCATTCATTAAAACAATGGCAATATATACCTTTGACACTACTTACAAACCATTAGCTACTGTTATTGTGTTTTTAAGACAATATCGGCATTTGATTTTAAATCATGCAGTTCAACAAAGTAGGCTTCACATTATTTATCCTCTTGTAAATGGTGCTATAAAGTTTTATTCCTACTAAAAATAATATTTAAAGCTGCTATATATTTAAATGCATGTTGGTCTGTCAATAAAGGCCTATATGTAGATGTGTTTGAGTAATTCAGTAATCTTTCTTCAATTTTAGTAATTTTATTACTTTTTCTGAGATTCGGTTACAAAATCCTGTTATAAATATACCTAGAAACATTTTTACTTATTACTTTGTAATTTTTTAAAATTATAAAGAACATATTTCAATCTTTTACATTAATTTTATTTTATTAATCCGCACTACAGTAATATTTTCAACTCACAATGTAAAAATATCTGATGTAACATTATCTAAAAATGAAGGAAATCCTAATGAAATTATATATAAACTACAACAGTTATGCCATATCATTTTTTAAAAAGCAATACTGATATTGTCTAGTCTTATTTTAAATATTGTTTCAAGCAACATTTTAGATGCTAGATTCTGGTCTGTGTTTAATTTATTTATTTATATCTTTTAAAAAATAATAGGATTGAAAGCAGTATGGCCTGGAATTCAAATCAAGGACAATTTAGGTCTAAACATTATCTATTATAGACATTACTGTTGATAAATTTATTCTGTAATACTACTAACTACTAGGCTTATTCTGTTTTTTTAATTAAGCATTTTTTAAAATACTTTACTATTGTTAGCTTTCATTCTTCATTTGAAAACAATTTAAATATTGATATTTTGTCTCTCATAAAATAAGGAGAATAGGTCTGGCTAAATCTTCATACTAGATCTAGATCTAGATCTAATTATGTATTTACAGTGTAATATCTGGTCTCTGGGTGTGATGTAATTCAGCTTTAAAATAAAGGGCCAACAAAGATCTAATGACAAAATGTAATGAATACAAGATCTATATATTTAAGTTTATTTATGTAGAGCCAATGAAGACCCGTACCATAAATTAAATACAAATACCATATAGATTCTATATCTAGAAGTATATAGAAATCTATAGGCCTGACACCAAAAGAGTAGACTAGACTTTGAACTAAACCTTATTAATGACAAAGAACTGAAAAACATTTTTTTTGCAAGATTTTTAATATATAATCGGTAATCTATCGCTTTAGCGTAATCAATTCGGCCGTCACTAGTAATGTAGGGATAAGGTAACTAATAAATATGGCTTAAATATGGATATATTTTTGCATATTTTACTAAAATACTAAAGATAATTGAATATTAAACCACATTTAAGGTTTAAATCAATAAAAATGTCAGGAAATTAAAGTTTAACAACGATGTTACAGATACTAAATTTGCTATTAAAAACAGCGGCCATCTTAAGAAAATATTATTTTGAGTCATTTCCCTTTAATTTCTATTTGTATGGAAATGTATTGATGTTTGCTGTTAAATAGGTTAGTCTTGTGTTTAAATACAAAGCATGCGTTTTTTTTTAAAATTCTGCCCTTTAAACAATTTAATTGACTGACAATAAACATCAGTTCTATAATTAAAAATTATTATTATGAGATGCAATTTTTATACATTAAGATACTCCCTATTTTTATAGAGCTACCACTACATATCTAATGTTTATTTAAATATTAGTTTGAGTTCATTCTTATTGTTTGTGTTATTGTTTGTTTCCTATTTTCATTTAATATTTTCA